GATTACTATAAAATAGGATGTTTGTGTAATACAAAGTCAGTCTGGAGGAGAGTCTGAAGGAGAGTCTGGAGGAGAGTCTGAAGGAGAGTCTGGAGGAGAGTCTGGAGGAGAGTCTGGAGGAGAGTCTGGAGAAGAGTCAAAGAGTAAGAGGGTCCAACGAAGAACATGGTCTTACTTGGAGAGTCCAAGGAAGAGCACTTACTTCATAAACACTAACTTAAGAGGAGAATGTAACTCTTAGATAATAATACCTGAGATCAACTATTGTTTAGTTGACTTCTCAATAAAATTACGATGTATACAATAAATCTAAATTAAGAATATTGCATTTAATATTCATAAAACCCTCCAAGACTCCGCAACGACATAACTACGAGATAATCCACGGTGTCCAAGGATTTCTTAACCCTGGGACACGACAAGATTGTTCGAAAACTAAAAGTTTTGTGCACGATTCATCTATAAACAATTCTCATATTTTTGCTTAATCTTAATTATATTAATGTTTGCTTGAATAAGGACATGTACATTCTATTTCGTAAACCAATTTACATATTATTGATAAATATCCGGTACATGTCGAAAATTCCAAAAGTTTCCAGTAATAATTCCAGTTAATGTATCTATTTAACATCTAAACTGAAAGTAAATTACAGCAAAACTACTGCATCAAAAAATGCTTTTCAAATGCAATTATATCTTTATATTTTAGAAATTAGTATTTAAACACTCAAATATAATATAATAAAAGCTTTCATCAATTGCGCAACGATTTGGAATAACAAGATTATCCAGACATTGAATATAAAGAATTATTGATTAAGCAATCAATTAATTTGCGGAATAAAAGATTGTCGAGAACGAACAAGATTTGAGTCAATCAGTGTGAACAACAAATTCAATTAATCACAAACGGTTACGTTCTTTTCACGTTGCTTACGTGTTTTAAGTTAAAGGCAAGTTTTATTCTTAGAAACATGACGACACTGCGCGGACGCTGAGTCTGTGATAAATATGAAGAAAATAAAATTCATAATAAAAACTAAAATCATGCCTATATAGGGCGTTTTGATATACGACCGACCATCAAACGGAATATTTCATTGAAGTACCCTTGACACCGAATTGCCGCACGATCGCGAACGAGATATTTGAACATTGTTTCCACTAATGAACACCATCACACACAATACAAACATCCTAACAATTTCAATTTAAATTAAATTTTATATAAAAAAAAATGTGAATAGATACAATTGGTTGTTTTGTGTGTGAGAGTCATATTGCAACATATTCATACAAATTGTTTCTATTTCTATAGAGCAGTGATTTTGAAACCGACGTTCCACAAAAAAATATGATTAATTCAATTATTTTTTCAATGAAATCCAAAGTACCGCGGAAATTTAAGTACAAGTTCAAGATAAAAAAAAGTTGAAAAACTCTGCTGCAGAGGTTATTGATTCAAGCCATATTTCTACAGAAACAAACATTTTCATATAATAAAATCGAAATTATTGTAATTTATTCTTCGAATATATCAATTTGTATATGTAAAGTTGAAGTATGATTTAAACTTAGTAATGTTAATAAATAACTTGTTTAAAGTTAATAATATAAAGATGTGTCTTATACAAAGTAAATTAGACACATTCCCAAGTTTTTTATTGTAACAGACGCCATATATCGGCTACGCAACATTAATTTTGAACGCGTTTCATGTATCATATCGTGTTTGTACAGAATGACTACTAACAGCTCCCTTGACTTTCAGCTCCTTGTGTAGATTTGGTTTCAAGTGGTATCCGTAAATTAAACACTGGCCACTTACTAATCCAATTACTTTACATCTTTAAACTACCGCTTTAATTTTTTTGGTACGCGACGAGTGCATTAACGTGGAGACGCTATTAGAAAATTGAATTTTGCAAATAAGGTTCGTGCACGCAAACGTTGTAATTACTGCTTTGTCGCTAATTGCACAAAGAGAGAGAGAGAGAGAGGTAATATTGTTAGATGAATGCAGAAAGTACATGACGAGACAATGGGATGAGATATGCCGCGTGGGTGTTTAAAGAGTGGTTTTTAAGTCCATATCGGGTGTTCGTATCAGACCGAGGAGTGCCTTTCATCTCGAAAGGAGTTTAACCTTAACCTTCTGCATGCATCTCAGGCCAGCGCGCAACAAATAAATACCGAAAATGCGAAGCTATTTTTAAAAATTCGACTCTCTTTTTATGATAATAATTTAGCATTGCACATTACATCATAACGTACAGAATAAATATAGCAAATCTTTAAAAATATGCATGAAATATGACACATGTTTACTTAACGATGAATTAATATGCTTCTTCATTAAACCAAGTATTGTTTTAATAGTTTTTCCATCATTCTATGGATATACACAGTGTGCATTGCATATGTTACAGTCAATTCCAAGTTTATTTGTAAATAATGTATGTTGCACTTACCCATAACTCCCAGCTGCTGCGGTGTGAGATGAACAGTATCTCCGGCTTCCGGAAGTATTCCACCGCTTACTAAGCTTCCGGAAGCAACGGATGCACGTTCGCTTCCTCCACCCAAAACGGAACTTTGACGAACAGTACCCCTATCACTGTAACCACTATAAGCGTTACTTCGACGACCGCTGCTTGCTTGGCTCATCATATCTACAAAAAAAAACTTCATTTCAGCAAATTTTAAATATCTTGATAGCAGCAGGTGTGTTAATTCACTTCGTAAAATATCAATCGTTATGTCTACATATACTAGAGATGATCAATTATTTAATCTAATACTACAAATTGTAATAAATATTAAAAAAAATATGGAGAGGAAAGACCAATATGATAAAAATAGTTTGTAACATTGCGTCACAATAGAGCAGAAAACAAAGATACATTTGTAATGTAAAAAGTAGTGGCCTAGTCCCAATTCGATATCACTCTATTGACCTAGTTAACGGATAAAAGGCACGATCTCGCTTTTATTAAATCTAACGTTGATGGCACTGTGTGAGGTCCCACATACATATGTAAAAAAAAACATTGTCAATGGGACATCTCATCAAAAAGCTATTATTCTATAAAACTTCCTTAATTGAGTAATTCGTGTGGACACATGAGCAAATTCGAAAGAAATACATCACTACAGTACAATGTTTAAACATATTATCACTCTCAAATTAATACAAACAGTTGATTCCTTTTCAATCGTGTAAAACAACGTGTAAATAAGATAGAAGAAATTTATTGTTAATTAATAATTAGTATTAAATAAAAGTTTGAATAGATTTTGTAAAATTACAATCATCAACAGGGACGGATTTAGGCAAGGGCATTACGTACCCATAATTCAATCAACCGAAAAACCAGTGCTAGTCAGTTTATTTAAGAGATGTTATTTAAATTTAGCTTATATAATAACTTAATATATTGCATACAAGCGTTGCGTAGATGCTATTGTTGCATAAATATTGTGATACATTTTTTTTAAAATATTATTTCAGTTTGTAGATGTACATTGTATACAACCAAATATACACGTACATTTTTTGGCAATAACTCGACCCTTCCATTATGACAAGTACATAACAATAATTGAATAAAAATAAGGTAATACATAAATTATAACAATGTAGTACAAATACCTGCATTAGGGCTCCTGATTCCTGACGCTCGTGCCCTTTTTCCAAAATTACGTTTAAATTTTTTGGGATCAACCACTTGCCTCCTTCTTCTCATATATCTAGCAAGAACTCCCAGCAAAGCCATACTGGCTGTTACTGAGACAACAACAACCTGTGTGAACAAAACAATAATATAAACAAACATTAACAATTTTATATCTATACAAATTATACAAAATTTGATTTCAACAAGTTAAGATAATTTAAATTAAATTATCTTTTATAATTACTAAAACAACTAAAAGAATAATTGTGATATTTAATAAAAATTTGTTAAAAAAATATTGACAACAAAATAATGTATTCTTATACGTTAATATTATTTTTTTTAAATTGAAGTTAAGTGTTATTACTTAAACATTATATAATAAACAAAAGCAATAGAAATAGCTAAATTACTTTGAGGTTATGTTTCTAAACATTGGTTTTATGTTGCTCTACTTACTTTCTGCGTTCTTGATAAACTGATTGTGTGCGGTAAGAATTGTTTAAGATATTTTACATTTTCCAGTATTGGGTTTAAATGCATCATCAACGACATTGTTTCTATTGGAGATTCAGAGGTTATCTAACTTAATATGTACTGCACAACACTTGAAACTGGCACTATTCTAATTATTACGACTATAAACTAGTATGTACACTATTAAAACTGTTATTTCGCAAGTATTTAAATGTTATTTTTATTATAATCCCCCCAATGTTTTGACTTGTGACGTTCGTTCAAAAACTCGCGGCGTTGTTGCACCAACTATTTATTGATGGACGTAAAACGTTTTTATACAACTTAAATTTGTTACGTATCCGATGTACAAATCAAATAATCATTGATTATAAATTATATTTATGACTATACATCATAAGTTGTCAAAATACTATGAAGATTCATGATACATTTGTAAGAGGTCATAGAAAACATTGAATTACCAATTGGCGTAGCTGAGATGATTGGATGTAAACAAATCAAGGGATTAAAGTGAACAAATTCAAGTTCGTCTTGATGCAACAGTTGAAAAGTAATTTATTATTTTTTTTTAATATTTTAAACAATTTTAAGATGCGTCCAGCAGGTGGCAGCAATATTATTAGCATTGCATAGGCAATTTTAATTACGTACAAACCAAAACAAACATTAGTAAACACATTCCAGTCCGGGCATTGTCTGAAACACGGTCGCTTTTTTTTTGAGAAGGATCGCTATATTAACAACGAAAGTGAGCGCTTTGTTTGTGCGGTTAGTTTGGCGATTACTTGCTAATTTTTGTCCAATCAAATGGAGCAAATTTACAAATTGAACATTGATGATCTGCCAGATGAAGTGTTAGAGTTAATAATAAGTTTTTTGCCACCCTACAAAGATCTGCATGAATGCATGTTGGTATGCAAAAGATGGAGGGATTGTGTCTTGAGTAAGTAATTTATTACTAATTTTTTTTTATATGTAGCTAATTTATTTGCAGTGGGCTAGTTTGACCGGTCTTTCTGCTTTCAAATAACTTTGAATTCTTATTGGATCAAAGAACAACAGTCATATGTTTTTTTTTATTATTTCTTTCCTCTATTTATATTATTAATAAAAAATCTTTGTTGTAGATGTTACAAGAACGAAAGGTAGAAATTTCAACAGAGCAATTGCCGAATTTAATATATTATGGAAAACTATAACCCCAGAAGCGATGGCACCGACAATAACAAAAAGGTATTCACATGCTGCTGCAATTCACAACAATTCCATGTACGTGTTTGGAGGCTGTGCTTGTTCAATGACTACTTTCAATGATCTTTGGAGATTGGATCTATCAAAAAGACAATGGGTGAGGCCTTTAACAATGGGGACATATCCATCTCCAAAAGCTTGCAGCACCATGGTTTGTTATAAAGATACTTTAGGTATATATATTCAAAACACAGGTTATATATATATTTGTTTTTATTAATAAACATTCTAATTGCAGTCTTATTTGGTGGTTGGACATATCCATCTGCCTTTCCATTACATCAAACCTGGTATTTGTTCAATGAACTGCACACTTATGATATTATTGAAAATCAATGGTCCTCGATAAGTAATGAAGTGACGCCACCTCCTACAGCAGGTCATTCGGTTACCATTCAAAAAGAATGGATGGTAATGTATGGAGGTTTGCAGAGAGCTTCGAACGCTGTCCATTCCATTAAAACTAGTGACATATGGAAACTCAATTTAGAAACTTTGACTTGGCACAAACAGGAAACGGGTATAATTGTGCACATAAACATTTGTTTATTTATTTATGTATATATGTAATTTTTTAGGGATTATAAAACCTCCTGGTAGATATGGACATTCTCAAACTTGGCTCGATGATAACAATCTTTTAATCATGGGCGGTTCTGGAGGTCCATCAGTGAATTATTCAGATGCTTGGAGATTAACTTTGACTGATAATCTTTGGACGTGGGTTCAAGTTGAAATGAGAAGCATTACAGAAGCGCCAGATAACTTATGGTGCAACCCAGCTTGCAGAGTAAATAAATATAAATCTTTTAATAATATATTTAACTATTATATGTTTTAGGTTGATAATAAAATAATAGTATTAAGTAGAAGTAAGGAAAGTACGGAAATACCACCATTCATGTATATTTCAAAAGGAGTGTGGGTATCCAGAGAAGAAGCTGAGAGAAGTCAAAGGGGTCAACAGCATAGGATAGATTTGGCACATAGACAAGTGGATAGAGATGAGAATGTTAATGGAAGGAGAGGCGTCTTAAAGGGTACGAAAAAAAGTAATCCCGTTGAAGTGGTGGTAGCTGGTTCAAGTGGTGTTCAAAATAATAGACCTGTAATACAAATATCTAATAGAATTATTATTTATTTTAATTAAATTTACAATATTTTTAGGAGGATCGTTCAATACGAATGGCGGCCTTTGCAACAGAGAAGAAACCAGAAGAGGATGTGGATAAACAAGTTAGGCAAGAAAAAATTAAAAAAGCTGAAGAAGCCTGGAAGAAGGCGTTGAAAGCTAAAGAGAATGCCCAGCGTGTGCGTCCGAGGAAAATACTGGGACTATACGTTCTTGACATCACGCATGCATTAGATGAGAAACCGTATGTTACATGGCTTCCTCCTACGGACGGTGGCTTGAACTGCGAAGGCCCTGAGGAGACAGTACTATATACTTTACTTCAAGGCAATTCTGAACTTATTATGTTTGGAGGAATCCAAAAGGATGCAAGTTCTGTGGCGTGCACTACGAATCTCAGCAATCAAGTATCCAACTCGTTGCATTTTTTAACGGCTCCAAGTTACCAATTTTAAAATGTTATTTTATCTTTCATTTAACAACTAACTACTGTGTTTAGTTAAGCAAATACATTTTAACTAAATATTTTTTTTTTATTAATTAATGAAAACACTGCAACTCCATTGCTTTTGACCGATATTTGCGATTACATTAACAAGTTTTTGTGCGAATCGAAGAATATAACAAATATAAATTATTTAAACAAACAAAAAAATGCTTAGTGTTGCATCATTGCGTAACTAAAAGATGGATTATATAATCAACGGCTAAAAGTATGTCACCAATTGGGTTTTCACAGTCCTTTATATTAATTTATTTCCTATTTATATTTAAGAAAATTGTATGATATTAAAAAGAATGCAAATGTATTGTATATATAATTGAAAATACATATTTTGGTCGAATTAAAACAATTAATATTATTAAAGAAATATATTTCCATTTGATTACGTTTATTTAAATTACATTTAATCATCTTCATCGTCGGGTTTTAAACCGCAGAACACCTCACTTGGTATTGCCTGTTTGGTAATGGGGACATTATCATCATCATCATCTTCTGCATCATCGTCGTCGTCTTCATCATCATCATCGATATTAATTTCATCAGGATTAGTAACTCTTTCCTTTTCTCCTCTGCTCTCTCCTTGCGTCTCCCCTCTGACGAACATAATATTTCCACCTTTAACGCCAGACATTTCAACTGCTTTCGCCTCCAACAGTCTCATTCCATCCTTTACACCTGGTGCTAAATCAGCGACAGTGCCCGTACTTCCAGCCGTATTCAACATTTGTGCAGACATCATATTTACTTGAGTATTGTACATGGCTTGTACACTACGTTTGATCCTCAACATTTCTCTCATAGTGTCTTCATTTCCATGCCGCACTTCAAACTCTTTCCAGACCTGCCAAAATTCGGCGGTAACGCGAGGGTCGCATATTTGACTGCAATGCGCGTAAATCGCTCTCGCGCGATCGATTTCACCCAATTTCGTTTCCATTTCCGAAAACCTCAAGCACATCTCCCTCGTCTTATCTTCTTGCAGAACTTCGATGGCTTTCTCATAAATTTGTCTTGTCTTTGGAACGCCGTAAATTTCGGCAGCACGTTTTATGTAAATATTGAAGATTTCAAACATTTCTTCTGGAAGGACGGCGCCTGTTGCCCTTTCGTAAACGGCCATAGCGTGTCTCGCCATTCCATGCTCCTCTTCCAATTTCGCGTACAACAGATATAAAGGTTTAACGAATTTGGCGGGGCAATTCTCCAAACACTGTTCGAACAAATCCCTGGCTCTCTCCAGTTTCGTTCCGCCATATCGTTTCAAAAACTTATGCAAATACGTGTTCCAAATGTCATATACATTTGGCCATTTGAACAACGATATTCCTTTTTCGTATGCCCTGAAAGCCTCTTCAAAGTAATTATTTTCTTCAAGGAAAAGACCATAATTAATGATAATTTGAGGTGTGGCGATCCTCAAATCGATGATTCTATCGTACACCGCTTTACAAGATTTAAATGTTCCAAAGCTTTCTTCTAAATCAGCATAGAGAGACCAAACTTTGAGAGACTTGTATAACCTTGCTTGCACAGTTTCTTTGTCGTCGTGATAGTGAACTTTACGTGAAGGAATAACTGTGGCTTTGTGCATTAATTTCAGAGCGCCTTCATAATTTTCACTTCTGATTTCCATTTCAGTCCATTCACACCAAACAGCAGCTAAATCATCAACTTTCAGATACTCCACTTGAGTGCCCTTTTCAAAAATCAAGCGCGCATCTTCTATCTGTTTATTGGTTTCATAAAATTTTGCAAATTCCACCCACAACGTGTGCAATTTACCAACTGCCAATTTCGCTTTAACAGTTTGGACAGCTTCCGTGTACGTATTAATAATTTCATGCGGATTTCCTTCATACAATTTCACTCTGTTGTGCCATTCCTGCACATTGTGTGGGTTCTGCCTAAGCAACACAGAATTCAACAATAAAAGTCTCCTCTCCATTAAGTTCTCAAATCTGGCCAATCTCAATTCCAAATCTACTTCATCTTCTTCAGTTGGATTCTTGATTTTACAAATTTCCTCATTTCTCTTGTTTAAACTTATCTCTTCAAATTGTGCATACGCATCAAATACTTGAGTAAAATCTCTAACTGTTGTAACTGTCTGGATTGCTTCTTCGTATATGTCTCTTGCTCTATCAAATAAACCACTTCTAACATAATAATCTGCTAAAGAATTCCATAAATGTCCCAATTGATCAGTGTATCTCCTTAGCCCACCTCTAATAATGGCATCTACATTCAAGGATCTTACTTTACGCGGATTCTTTGAAATCAATTCGCACAGTTCATTCCACAGTTGATGATTGGATTTACCTTCTTGAGATACAAAATGTTCATTGTTAACTATCTTGGCTAATGTTTGAGCTGATTCATCCAATCTATTTATCTTTGTCAGGTATTCCACATATTGTTCAGCATTTTCAGGGCACAATTTCAAATACCTCCTAAATATTCTAACCGCTGTTTCAGGAATGTCATGTTTTTGTACGAACTTCAAATACAATGGCCATATTCTATGGTGCTGTGTTATTGGAAGCGCCCGTAGAGCCCTATCAAACACTTTTCTCGTACGTGTAATTTTACATTGATCAGTTAAAAATGTACAATAATCCATCCAAATTCTGGGCATCTTATGCATAAACACTAAAGATCTCTCAAACGCATTATTTACAGACTCGTATGCTGGATCTATTACACACCTTGTCTTAATTTGCTTTCGACGAAGTTTCAAATAATTGTACCATAATTTATATGAACCAGGCAATTCCTTCAATGATCTCTCATATATGATATTTATAGCTTCTTTGGAAGCACTCTTCTTATGATCAATGTAGCGAAGCCAATGCTTCACTGAATAGGGATTCCTTAATATTTCTTCTTCATATGGAAGATCATCATCAGTCTAAGAGAAACAAATAACATGATAAATATTTAGAAATTATTGAAAATATAAATACACTTACAAAAATGATTTCCATTGGCTCCTCACAAACAGGCATTTTCATTCATACAAACAAAATCTAATATAACCTTAACACAAACGTTAACAAATATTATTCTTGTAGATTTAACCTCAAATATTAAAAGTAAATTGTAGGCCAAAAGACATACACGACATCTATAGTCAAGAAATAGAAGTATATTCAAATTGTGTTAATTGTAATTGAATGTCGACAAAAATTCGTATTTGAATTAATGAAATAACGACAAAATTATATATGATCTTATTTATTTTATTTAATAGACACATACATAAATATTAAGCAAACAGTCTTAAAAAAAGAACTAAAATGAAATGGCTATATACAAAGCCAGTAACTAAATTACACAATTTGAATTGCCCTATAAATATATATAAGATAAAGAAAATTTACATAAAAGAGAATATATATATTAAGAATAGAGAAAATTAGATTAAGGATTTGGCTGTGGAGGATAATTGTATGCTCCGTATTGGCCTTGCTGTGGAGGCGGTCCTTGACCACCAGGAGGTCGAGGGTATTGATAACCTTGAGGTTGAGCAGGATATTGTGGTTGAGGTGGATAACCAGGCTGAGGAGGATAACCATAATTACCACCTGGAGGTGGTTGCGGAGGATAACCCTGATTTGGTGGTGGAGTAAAATTTGGATTCGACGGTTGAGAATTAGGTGGGTATGGCGGTTGATACGGTTGCTGCTGCGGGGTAGATGGTGGAGCTGAAGTTGTAGCTGGACTCTGAGTATTACTTGGAGGCGCTGAAAATGGAGGAGATTGTGCGTTTGCTGGCGCATATGTAGAAGGATTTGGACTCGACTGGTTAGCGTAAGGAGCTGGAGCATTGGGTTGGCTTGCTGGTGGTGGTGGGTAAGGTTGTGGTGGATACGGTTGTTGGGGTGGATAAGATTGGGGAGCTGCAGCATTTGCATAAGGAGCTGCATTAGGAGGTGGTGGATTATAATTACTTGGTGGGTTTTGTGGTGGAGCCCCTGTTGGAGGATAAGGTTGTGGTGGTGCTCCAGTGGGTGGAGGAGTACCGTAACCTGGTTGAGGATAATTATTGTGGCTCGTTGTTGAACTTGGATATGGAGCTTGACTGTTTGGTGGATAGCCAGGTTGATTTGGAGGAGGATATTGACCTTGCTGGGGATATTGTGCTTGCGGGGGATACTGTCCAGCGTATTGTCCTTGATGATAAGCTCTTTGAGGATAAGGTTGAGGAGGTGCTCCAGGTCGTTGAGGAACAGGAGGTTGCCTGTAACCAGGTTGCTGTTGATGATTATAGTTATTCATTTGTTGTTGTTCTGGAGTCGGTTGGCCTGGTGGTTGTCCATGTGCTGGAGGAGCACCCTGTGGAGGCTGTAACATCTAACATAAGTACATGGTAAATCACATCATGTTGGTAACATAATCGCAATGAGAGTGTTCATCTACTCTCACCAACCATGCTACTACTTTTTAATATTTGCAGTAATAATAATACTAGTTTCACCTACCGGTAACAATGCATGCATATTTTGTGATGAATCGGCTAGACTTGCCAGATAGACAAGATTTCTATGCAGAACCTGTTGGTACTGCATACATTCTTGAGCTTTCCCTTTGCTTTGATAATCCTGAATGGTTTGAATTAAATGACCATTTTCATCAAGCATTTTCTGAATTTGCTGAGGTGTTGGCGGTGGTCTTTGTCCGCGTTGTGCAAACGTTAGAGACATTTTCAAGCAATTCAATCACTCGAAATAATCAGTGTGGACCCAAAGAAGTCCACGAAACACCGGCAATGGAAATTTCCATTTTATGTTGTTATAAATAAACAATAAATAAACTGCACAAAACAGCGGGACGAGTACGTCTTACAGAAAACCTGCGATGTCTGCTATAATCTGCTGTTTGGCCACCGCGATGGCGCTTTCATCGAATCTTAATTCGACTGAAGCATAACGTGTGGCGCTACTGGTGACTAGCGCCAAATTTCTTGAATTTTGTAAATTTCTTACAACAAATTAGTGGAGTTTACTTATTATTGTTATTAACAAAACAATATTTATTAAAATAATGATCCTAAGAACTAATATTATTATAGTTTGTGATTGGGGATGAAATAATTTATTTTATTTCTATAATTCATTCAAAAAACGAATAATCAAAAACTAAATAATATTATATAATTGTTTGTTAGTAAATAATGAGCGAGATAGACGAAGCTTATTCGATGTATAATATTTTAATTGATTGAAACGTATTTTCTTCTGCGTTTTATTAATGAATTTGCATTATTGTTCATGAAACGATCGGAAATTACAATTTATTAAAATCAGCAGATATACTCCTTCTTTGTGGACCAATCACAACGTTCTAGGTGACGTACATGGCAACAAAACCAGATGAAATCTATAAGAAATATGTTAATATATTCAAAAACATTCGAACTTGTGACATTCCACTTTCTTTGGTGGGGTTTAATAAGCCCCCAGGTTGTTGTATGGAAAGATATCAAAGACGCAGTTTTTGATAGCAACAATATCGCGTTAGCGCACATTCGATGCAGCCTCTTCGCACGATCAAGATGAATGTTACCGCAAGAACAGAATGGGCAGTGGAAGCATCGAAAATCGCTCAGAACAGTGAGATTCCTCTGATGGAAACGATAAGAACATGGAAAGCGAATCCCAATAAAGCAATAATTTCGTTTACTTCAGGTTCGTCACAATCATATTATATACTAATACACAATTATTAATGTGTTTCTATATTTCTTAAATTAGAAGATCCAACTGATCAATACAACTTTAAAACGTCGAAGGAAACTCTAAATGCAATTTTCCATACAATTCAAACTGGTAAAAATAATGGATACGCTCCATCCGTGGGTTACGAAAATTCAAGAAATGCCGTCGCCGAATACATGTCTAAGAAAGGCGTCGAATTAACAGCGAAAGACATTATATTATGCAGCGGTTGTTCTTCTGCTCTCGATCTTTGCTTGACTGTTATGGTCGATGGTAGAAGAAATCAAAACGTTCTGATACCGAAACCGGGTTTCTATTTGTACAAGATGTTGGCAAAAAGTTTGGGAATCTCTGTAAAGGAATACGATTTATTACCAAACGACGATTGGCAAATTAATTTGTACGATTTGGATAGAAAAATTGACTCGAACACTGCTGCTGTACTCATAAGTAATCCGTCCAATCCGTGCGGTTCAGTTTATTCCACCAAACATTTGCTGGACATCGTTGAAATATGCGACCGCCACAAGATTCCCATAATTGCAGACGAAAGCTACGACCAATTAGTTTTCAACGCAAACTTCGTATCGTTGGGTGCTTTAGAAACGACGGTTCCAATCTTAATTTGCGGTGGTCTGTCCAAAGGATTCCTGGTGCCTGGCTGGAGATTGGGCTGGATTTTAATCGTTGATCCCATCGACGCGTTTCAGACGATCAGGAAGGGACTCGTCAGTTTGACGCAAAGGATTATCGGTTGTAATACGGTGATTCAAGGAGCCCTGCCGACGATCCTGAATGCCAACAGCGACTTCATAGACGACGTGAACGAAAACCTCAAGAAAAATGCGACTGTCGCATTCGAAGCGTTTCAGATCGACGGCTTAAAGCCGTACATGCCCCAAGGCGCATTGCATATGATTATTGGAATTGACCTGAACAAATTTCGTTTCAATACATCCATGGAGTTTCTACAGAAGTTTTATGAGGAGGAATCAGTACACTGTTTGCCAAGCGAAGTGAGAGTATATACATGCATTGTTTATCTATAAATTATTAATATTATGTTTTAGGTATTCGGTGTTTCTGGTTTCATGAGGATCATTTTGGTAAACACCACAGACGAAATCATTGAAGCAAGTGAAAGATTAACAAATTTTTGTAAAAAATACATATTATAAATAAATGTGATTTATAAAACATTAAAATTTAAGATTATTGTAATTCCAATTGATAATACCTATTTGATATTTCTTACATTCTATAATATTTTTGTCCAAATTGACGATTATCGACATTTTATTACAATTTTATCTTTCATTCCAGTAAGATTCGAACTCGACATCTTTGAGTTGAATTATTGTGAAACGCGTTCATCGCCTGCTATGTGAATATTATAACTATGATAATTGTTTTAAACTATAGTTTTAGGTTTTTAATAACAGATGGATTATTATATATTATAAAGGGTTTTTTTAACTATTCAGCAATAGGTAAGTAAAATATACGAAAATCAAAATGAGGTTATTTATTTATTTATTAATATAACAATAATATATATATAACACAGACAAGATGTGTTAACTACAAAAGAATATAAAATTTAATTAAATTGCATTTCACTCGATGCTAACTGGAGGTAGTAGTTGGCACGGTTTTGGTTTATAATATTTATTGCAAAAGTTTGCCAGCCTTTCGCACGCCTCAACCATCAATTCCTTTGGGACAGTGATGATGATTCTCATGTACCCGCCTAATCCAAATGCCTATAAGATGAAAAAATAGATAAAAAATCAATCATAAAGAAAATAGTTATTTAATAAATTTACCTCTCCTGGTAAACAGAATGTTGATTCTTCTTCCATTAGCTTCGATACAAACTCCAAGCCATCGTTGAACTGTGGGAAACATTCGGACTTGATTTGAACCATCATGTACATAGCTCCTTGAGGCATGAAGGGCTTAAGTCCTCTTATCTTGCCAATTTCTTCGTAGGCGATGTTCGCCGTTTCAATGAGAGTGTTCATTAGTTCGTCGTGAAAACTCTGCGGAGTTTCTAAAAGAATTTTCGTCATCGCTCCCTGCACCAAAGTGTTGCTGCCAATGATCCTCTGGCTTAAGCAGACTAAACCTTTGCGAACGGCCGCGAAAGCTCCGACCGGATCGTGAACCACGATCCAACCCAACCGCCAACCCGGAACCAGAAATCTTTTAGCCAAACCACCGCAAATCAGCAGCGGCACTTTAGCGCCGAGCGACGCCACAGAGACGAATTTGTTTCCGGGGAAAACGAGTCGTTCGTAAATTTCGTCAGCGATTATCGGAATCTTGTTCCTCTCCGCCAAACGCAGCACGTTCCTGAGATGTTCCTCACTGTAAACGGATCCGCACGGATTCGACGGATTGTTGATCACGATCGCGGCGGTCTTCGAATCGATCTTCGATTCGACATCGTCCAGATCGAGTTCCCAATTCTCCTCGGGGAGCAAATCGTAATGCCTCACCTCGACGCCCATCGACTCGGCGAGGGTGCGGTAAATCGGGAATCCCGGTTTCGGGACCAATATGTTCTGACCTCTGGTACCGTCAGCTAACACGGTGATGCAGAGGTCCAAGGAGGAAGAGCATCCGCTGCATAGGATGACGTCTTCCGCTTGAACTTCGACTCCGTCGTAACTCAAGTACTCGGCTACGGCATTTCTGGAACAATCCAATCCACAAGAACCACCGTACCCGTTATGTTTTCCATTGAGAACAGTCTCGATAAGAGCATCGGTCGTTTCTTTGGCCGGGACCAAATTTCCATAAACAGTTGGATCACCTGTTCAAGAAAAAGCAAAAAAAAAATCGTTCGTCGTAATCAAATCCGCTTACAATTTCTTCTTTAAAAAAAAATAATTATATTCTATAAACTAGTATTTCCACTCTTTGAATATTTATAGATAAATATTTGCATTTCAACAACATACACAGAAATATTCTAAACACACGATTTTCGCGATTTATCGTTTAATTCAGAATTAACACTAAAACGTACTTACTATTCGTTTTTTAGGGATAATCATTTATTTTAATATTTCAAATATATTTTAATTTATGCTATTCCAAACTTTTGGGTCATCTCGTCAATTGAATATTTATGACGAAATTATAGTAGAGAAATTCTTAATTCAGTCTAGACGTTTTAAAATTACTGAAAATTTAAATTCATTCAGAAATTTTCCTACGATTTCTGTCCGCGTTGCATCAGTCTGCATTTTTATATAAATTACAGTAAATTGATCACCACAAGAACTAGAAATATCTTTAATGATACATATATATTATAAACGAATGTTATTTATTAATAATAATCATACTAACCGATAGACAAAGCTATGACTTTCTTGTTGGGATTCGGTTCCAAATTGAGATTGTCGACGATTTCTCTGATGTAGTTTCTGCAATTTTTGGCTGTTGTCGAGATTGGCACGTCCCACTTGTCGCTTACAGGATCGGCGGTCTTCTTGTAATAGATCTTGTTGATGGTTACATTCTTCGGGGGAGTATCTAGCATTGTCACACAACTTTATATCAAATCGGTTTCACTTCTTCGTTGTTATCAAAAAGACAATCTGTTCTTTTTCTTTGATGCTACTTCTTAGAGATGGTGCTTCGTCGAGCGTGAGTTTTTGAATAATCTTTAGCTATGTCCAATGTACGCTTTTATACGTGCATTAATTTTCTCGTCAACGTATGAATAATTAATACGAGACACGTTTTTTCTGACTTTCTTGCTTGATCTTGCTCGGATGATGATAGGTTCTTTTTACTTCGATTGGTTATTTGCAACTATTGTAGTTTGTAGCTAGGTGCTCTGCATATTTATATACGGGCACGTAGAACCGGGGAGGTGGTGATTATTTTTATGCGACATAATTAAGTTTGCAGTTTCTTGATTTTTCTGCGTACAATTTTTGTTTATTTACTTCTTTCATAAACATATTTTCATAAGCGTATTTACAATTGATATCGAGTTAGAAGTTTCTAACAATATCATTCAGTATTTAAAACAAAACGTATCAAAAAGTACAAATAAAACTAAATTTAAATTTGCTTTATCAATCTTATAAATTTTGGCTTCTGTATTTTTTCCTTTTTTAAAGTATTTTGTTTTGTAATAAGGCCAGAATAACGTAACTGCGATACATTGCCGTACATTCAGACTTAAACCATTAAATAAAATCACATAATAATAATAAAAATGGTATATTTTTAAAGAAATCTTTCAATGTTTCAGAAGACATGTAAATGCTCCATTCATGCTCAATATTATTATTAATACTTTTAAATTTTCAAAGGAGTATAGTTTTAGGTAGACTACATATGAAAAGGTAAACAGTGAATTCAACGACCTCCGAATTAGTGAAGATATACTATAGTAGAATGATGCAATCAAATTCATATTCTTCATCATTCTACTTAACATAAACTTAACTCTGCTATACTATTCGTAGTACTATTGCATATTATAATATAGATGAGAAAAAGTTATTTATGAAATTATATTTTCATGACAATTTTGAATATATTTTTGTACTATATTAATTTCTTAAGAATTTAATGTGAACAAGTTTTCTTTTACAAATTGACTATTGAAAAACAATTAATATTTTGCTTCAACTTGTTTAATTCGTTTCATGTTTACGTATTAATTGAAACGCGCTGACTCAGAAAATGCATTAAAAAATAAAAGTTGAAATGATAAACATAAATTCATAAATAATTGATATTCCCACCTATATTTGCATAAACATTTCCAGAGTATAAAGCATAAGAAGTAAGTAATGATTATTGTTGCAAAGAGATATTTGAGTCGTAGAAAAAAGGAGTTTTTTTTCTGCAGAAAACAATGCATATTCATAGCGATCTGCGAGGCATAGAAAACCTAAATGTTCAGCGCCTTTTCACCAAACGAGACGCACTTTTCAACTTGAAACTTGTCTGTCTCCCACTAACTCCCCCACCCAATCCATCTCACACTCCTTCGCTGGATCAGCCAGCCAAACACACTTGTGAATGTTGTTTTTTGCGCTTATATAACTCCAGCATCATAATGTTTTATATTATATTATCGGTGGCGTGATTTCTGTTTGCCCTCTAAAATTAAAAAGAATAATTCAATTCACGTGCTCAATAAAAAAATAAATAAATAAATAAATACTAGACCGGTAATCAAATGTCACAACAAAAACTATTTAGTTTAATATTTGTATGTTAAATGCAGTTTAATTAATTTCAGCTATTATACATTAATTTCATGCGATTTGATTGTTTTCAATTAATTACATTTTTAAATATTCGTAATTAAAATTCTTAAACTTATAACCGTTATCGCGCTGACATAATTACGCCACCTTCGATCGCGGTACTTTTGAATGTGTCTTATTCGTTCTGTTATGAATCTGTAAGGTATGCAACTTTATTGACGTTTTTTTTTTTGAAAAATTGTGCAGTAGTTATATAAATCAATGTAAGAAGTATAGTATAGTAGGATCTTAACAATAATAAATAAATCAATCAATTTAAAGTATAGTTTAAAATGGGTTATATTTTCTTCGAATTTATAATAATAATTATTATTTGTTTATAAATTACATTTACCAATAGAAACGTTACTGCTATAATAATAATAAATACAATAAATATAAACGTTATTCGTAAATATTAAGTTTATATTGGTCCAAGCAAACATTCAACCCGTATGTTTGTCACCATTATTATTCTTTGTTTTTTCCCTTCTCTTGAGTTTCACTTGATCCTAGGATAGTAGTAAAGGACCGACGATCCAGGGAGTTGCCAATTGGAGGCGTGAAGTTCGATGAGTTGCAACAAAGTGCGTCGCACTGACGGCGAACCAGCGCTTGCCAAAAACCCATCTCTCACGCTCGCCAATAGCTGTTCCAATTGGGCTGGCAACTCGCTTTCCAGATCTCTTCCTATGGACGTGAGGACGAAGAACAGACATTCCGTCTCTGCCAAACAGTTGATCGGTAGACTGACGCAAGCTTGACAGCATTTGGCCAGAACGGAGAGCAAGACCAGATCGGGCTGAAGAGATTCGAATTGAGTTTTCAGTTGATGGCGTTTCAGTTGACCGCACATTTCCGTTAGGAACCACATGAAGGCGGTGAAGCGAGTTCCGTCTCCGGCTTTGATTCCTCTCAATATTTTGTCGCGTTCCTGGTACCACTGTTGACAGGTGTTTATTAGGGATTCGAGGAAAGTTTGCGTCTTCTCCTTTTCGATGATCGTGATGCAGAGCTTCGCGCCGGCTTCCGAATACCTTATGCCTTCGACTACTCGTTCCAATATGATTTTGACCATGTCCATTAGGGTTCGCGATTGCAATTGATTTGGATCGAGTAATGCTGTTTTCAGGTTTTCCTGCTCCTCGGCTGGAAAACTGCCGATGTCGATTTCCTCTTTGCTGAAACCCTTGAGTTTAGACAGGGCCTGTGTTTGCTGTTCGGCTGCGGTCATGCTTTTCGATCGTTTCAAAATATTTTTGTTCCAATTGTAGTTCATGTGATTGCCATAGACTGATTGCTGCTGCTGCTGTTGGAGAAGTTCGCTAGGCATTTGAAAGTTGACTCTGTGCGGTACATTGTGTATTAATGTTGTGGACGACGAATGCATCAGCGGAACAGGCATCGTCGGCAGCAGCGGTATCAAGGGGTGAGCGTGTATGTGTCTTAGGATGTTCCCGCTCGATTTGGACTGTTGCAGCGGCACGGACTCGTAGTTAAGAAGATGAGCTAAATTCCCGCTGGATTTAGATGTTTGAAGGTCGTGAGTCATTGTGAATTCTTTCGCGTGCACGTTCAGCTTCCCGGTATCAGTTCTTACGTTCGGCGGTCTATATATTTCCATCGTTGGTTTGTTACCTTTCAGCGATGCCATCGTTTGACTCCTACGTTTCTGCAGATTGCTCTGTTTAACGAAACTCCTTTCCCTCGTTATCCCGGACGGGATGAACTCGGTTTTGTGGCTCCGCTTTAACAAACTATTTTGCTGCGACATTCCGTACCGTCCGTTTCACTACTACTATTAAACACTGGACAGTTTTATTCTGTTTGAGTAATACGACGACGACGACCACGCAATCACCAGATTTAGACTTGCAAGGTTTCGCGGACACCCATGTTTAATTGCAAACTTTATTACTGTTTTTTTTTTCTCTCTTTCCTCGAAAAACTACACTTTTTCCCTTTATTCCATCATATCAACACTAATTCCGTAAAGTTGTGCACGCATATGGCACCTCCCTCTCGCAGCAGCAAAGTTGGCGCGGGCCTTACGCATTATTTATAGAATATTTATTTATAAATCCCGATGCATACACACACACTATACCACTCACTCACTCACATATACGCCAAACTTTATTAATAGTTTCTTTATGTATTACAGAATTGAACAATTCAAAGGCAAACGTACAAAACGTTCCAAAAACGAAAAAAAATTGTTAAGATGCGAACAGGCCTGCAATTCAACTGTCGCCTACACTCATAGTCTGTCCGATGAGTGTAGTAAGCATACGACTCTATGTCTCTCTCTCAGTATATGTGTGTGTGTGTCCGTGCACTTCACTAAACACAGACGGACCCATTCAAATGTTTCCGTTTTCATCATCGATATAATTATCCATAATCTTCATTTGCATCCACGAACAATAGCAATTGTCATCAAGACTACATAACCATTCGACTGAAATATTAATGATCACAAATAATTAATTGTTTTTCAATTACAATTATTTTATAAATCACTTTGATCTTATACTATGTAAAGGAAAAGAATTTCGAGTCGACACTCAAATTAAAAAAATGTGATCTAGCGTCGATGATATCATGCCCAGTTTTGAAGTTTCTCCCACATAATATGAGTTATTTTTGTTTAGAATAAAGCAGAATAAATTAACAAACACTTTTGTTGAATAACTCGATGATTTATTAACTGTATACTATGGAAACACTTCATTTGTTTCAAAATTTAGTTTAGCTGTAATCAGGGCCGGCGCTGCCTTACGGAAGCAAATTAGACATTTGCATAGCGCGGTATATTTGAAAAAAAAATTAGTTCTTAAAAAAACCTCAACAAGGCTCAAATTGCGTCTTCGTCTCAATAAATCAAAGTTGTCTATAAATTGCGCCCCCCTCAAGAAAACAATAATATTACCGTCGCCTCAACCGAGCCCACGTTTGACCCCATCCTTATTCCGTCTCTGACACATCAGTGCATAGAAATCTAGTAAATCAAGTAAACAAATGAACTTCTATTCTCTATACCAGTGCTTCCAAACCTTTTCTATATATAATTATTTTATGGTTGTTATTACTTTGTTATTGTCCAGAAGGCAAAGATTCTCTGTCTTGCAAAGTTATTCATTTTATTATCTATTGGTAGTTACAAACTTGTTTTATATATATAAAAAATAATAATAACAGTGTAAATTCAATGTTATGTGTACATAACAAAAACAATTAATATGAAAATCAAAATTATAATGCAACATTGTGCATTATATATCAGAAAATATAAATTGAATATTAGGAGTCAAAATATATATAATTATTGTATTTGATATATATATATATATTTATGTATTGAGGAGCACAGAGTGTTTATTTTTTTTTTGTCGAATTTAAAACAATTCAACAGTTTCCTTTAAGTTGGCACTTGCGTGTGCCAATATCACTTGAGAAAATATATAGAAATATTCAACAATGAGCACCCACGTAAATAATCAATTTTTTTTTGTTTTTATATAAGAGGAATATGAAATACAAAATAATAAAATAGAAAAAAATAGCTTTAGTGTGTGTCACTAAATATAATGTTAATAACTGAACAATAATTAGAATCTAAGTTTAGCGTAAACGCAATTTCATTATATTCGAAATAAATATGTATTACTTAAATTACGTTCGTTTTCATAACTTAACAAAATGAGATTGAATAATATAAACTATTATATATATATATATATTTATATAATAAAAAAATACTTAATATATTGGAAGCAATTTCATTGCATACTTTTCATCATCGAGATAATGCAAACAAGCATTAGTCAATAGATGTAAAATATAGTTAGCCTCATTGAAATATTTTGTACTTGTATGTCAATGGTTATCTTGTCTTATGTAAAACTATAATATCACCAAGTGTTATGATGTGTGCGCCTGCTCCGGAACGCAGACGAAGAGCTTGGCGCAAGCATTCGTGAAATTGTCGTAGGATTTCACCATCCACGCAGGCTTATTGGTCCAAGCTATGGTCGCATAGTAGACTGGAATGCCGCACAGTATAAAGGCAAGACCGACGCCGACCTCGACGGGAGTCACGTAACAGGGGAACGTTACCAAAAATGCGCAGATTATGAAGAAGAGGACCGGCAGAACCATCGGCACGCGAATCGGACGTGCCATTTCGGGTCTCTTGTACCGCATCCATATCAATCCGGTGACGCTAATCATTATGAACAGAGATTCTACGAAAGAAACATAATTTATTAGCACGTAGACGTCTTCTATTATTGTCAAAAATAATGTGATCAAACACTGAAAGAAAAAAAACAAATTGTAATATTTACATAAAGCTCGTGTTACTCGTATTGAAATTACCATGAAAATTAACGACGGGATCGGCGTTAGTCTCTTCACATTGATCAGAGCGATGGCCCTTGGTAGATGTCCTTGCCTGGCTCCAACGAAGAACAAACGGCTAGAGGCAAAGATCGCCCCGTTCAGCGAGCCGAACGTCGAGCAGGCAACAAATACTGGCATCAAAAAGGAAAAACCTCCGAGCATCTTATCGCCGAAAGTCACAGCGACCGCATTCGAAGCCAAAATCTCTTCGCGACTCAGCACCACGAAATATGCGATATTCGTAACAACATACGTGATGGTGACTATCGGCAGAGAGATGCAAATGGCTCGGGGCAAATTCCTAAAAGAAAATAACAACATCAATCACAACTTGTTGAAAGTATAACGAATCGACTGAATTACTGGTATGGATCCTTCAGTTCTTCGGTGACGTAATTCAAGTAATTCCATCCGGAGTAGCTGAAGAGACCAGAGTAAAAAGCAATTGCGATGAAACCGGGCTTCGTGTTCGTCTCTGCAAACGGGTCTGCAAAATGCTCGACGTGTCCGATGCATAGGTAGTAAATGCCAGCAATTACGATGATGCAGAGAGCAAATATTTTCGTTGCAGTGAACACATCCTGAACCCTGGTCACCCATTTCACATTATAGCAATTGATTACGGTCAATATGCACGTGGTGGCCGCGGCCAACAAGCGGACGGCTTCGTACGGTGGTTGGCATGTCGGCCAAAGCGGTTGCAAAATGTATTGGGCAAACGTGATTGCCGTTATAGCGTTTCCTGTAGGAACTAAGATAAAGAGGGCTACCCAAAGATAAAGGAACGCCGGCAACGGTCCGAACGCTTCACTAATGTACGCGTAATCTCCACCAGATTTCGGAATCATCGTACCTAAAACATAAACAAACATAATTGTATTATAAAAATTGATGAAATTCGCATAGTTCGAGAAAGCTTGCCAATTAATAAATATAGAAATAAAATGTCACCTAATTCTGTATAACATATCGAGCCCAGAGCTGAAATAAGTCCAGATAGGGTCCAGACAATTAAAGAGAGACCAATTGAGCCCGAGTAATAGAGTACGCCTTTGGGAGCGATGAAGATCCCCGAGCCGATTACGGCCCCTATATTAAAGATGACACTGTCTCTAAGACTTAATTTCATCTTCGCCTTCGAAGATTTTTACACCGTATATTTAGAGTGCGTGCGTACATCGGACAGAACTGTCCGTAACCATTACAAATATATATATATATACATATCACATGGATATATCGGTGGCAATTGGATAATTTGCCGAGATTAAAGTGCTTGAAGGCGCTACACAAAGGAAACCGAATTTAAAATGATGCGACACGAAAATGTATAATAATAATTATTCAACTTGTGTGTGTCATCTTATGCTTACTTTTTTTTTTCATTCATCATTAAAGTGTTTAATCAAAACTATACAAATACAATCATACTTTTACCTAAAATTATTTCGTGTAAATTTAAAGGTATGTTGCATCATCTATACATAATGAATATTTAAAGAATTTCGTTTGAATCTACATAATGATGTTACAATATTTTCATCATAATTATATGGTAACGGAAATAAAACATTGCATAATACAAATATTCTTTCGCATAACAAAATTTAAATTATAGCGCGGCCGCTGCGGTTTATCGAGGACGGAAAAAATGTACAGTTAAGATTTTTTTTTACAACGATCTTCAGAGGTGAAAGTCAGCCGCAACTCGAAATGAACCACGTTGCGGTATTCTGATACAATTAAATCATTGATGCGCGCTCGTCGTTATCATAAAAATTGCAGAATACAAAGAACCGCATTTTCTCTATATAACAAACGTGTTGTATTAAATGCATTCTATTATAGTGTCAAGGTTTTCCATATCTATTACCTACTGTATTTAAGCGATAAAGATTTGTACTATTGTAAATTTGTTTTTCAACTAGAATTTCCTCTTTTCTATATAAATAGACTGATGAAAAATGCAAAGGTAATAGGAAACTGGTTGATTTTGTAATTCGCATTGAACAAAGTCCTTGACTTACTAATACTATTCATAAAAATCGAAATATTGAATGCTTTTAAATGTAAACGTATGTATAAATGTATATTTTTGAAGCGCAAATTATGTTTAATTGCATATAACTATAATAAAAATAGTTTAAAACTAAAAATAAATCTAATAGCAGTAATTATTGATAAATTTAATTAATAAAGGTGAGGAAAAAAGGTGGAAAAATTGCGTCAGATCGATGTTCAAAATGATTTTTGGCGGGAGATGTACGCGTGGTTGCCTAGATATAAACTGGATTTGAATTTAAATTTGGATCCAACAGGTAGCAGAGGAGACACGAGGCGAGCGTGCATCGATCGATCTGATTCAATGTTTCCGTGAATTGATTTGCGAATACTTACCCAATTCTGCGTAGCAAAGGGCACCGATCATAGAGAGAAAGCCGGACAGTATCCATACTATGATTGCTTCCCCGACAGATCCGGAATACATGAGAACACCTTTCGGAGACACAAAAATTCCCGAACCTATGATTATGCCGACGATAATCGCAACCCCGTCGATGAGGGAGAGTTCCTTCTTCATTTTAACCCCTGAGTTCGTCGACAGAGACGATTCACTCTTCGCCTTACCCATTTTTATTTTTCTTTTCTTTCTTTCCTTTTGCGGAGAGAGCGCGTCTTAATTTACAAAATTCGAAACTACACACTTGTTTTAGTTTTAGGTCTGTGTTCCGGGGTCCAGTCACACAACTGTCATGGTTTTAACTACAATAAACCCACGTGTTGTGGTTCTATATCTACGGTGTGTGCATATGCCGAAGCCAACGGAAACACCAACCACTCTCTTTGTCCCCCCCACCCAGAAAATCGAAGCAAAAGCGAGGAACGTGTATTTTGTGCCGAAGAACGAAGATCGGCTTTTCGGAGTGGTGCCCCGCTGTTCTACATGGTTCCGTTCTACACGTTCTCCTCTCATTACATCCATTCCATGCCCGTATGCGTGTCTCTCTGTTAAATTCGCAATTTATCCCTTGCATCCTGTTGAATTATATCAATTTGATGGTCTCTCATTGAAACTGGCGATAAATAGCCGGATGATTGCTCATCATTATAAAGCAACTAACACCCGACCATTCTTTGACTCTTCTAAACAAAATGCAATCTGAATTACTACCTAATCTCAATTACTTTCAATTCTTCCCCCTAACTTCTTACCTAACTTTGCCGAATGCTCAACCCACCCTTCCAATAGCAAACTGGTTTCTACCACACTCTTCAGGCCACTTTCTTCTCTTTGTATTTCTATTTATACAACCATTAACTGCAGTTATTTTTAAATTTTCTGACCGTGAATAGGGTCCACAATCGTAGATAAAATTATAATGACTACTCACATATTTTACGCAGGTGTTCCGCTAACATCAAAGCACGTTCAAACTTATTAATATTTAATTTACATTTATTTATAACAATTTCCTGTTTCATTTCAAACCTTCGTGAAATCTGTTTCAATTTTTCATTATAAAATCTATCCTTGAGTAATTTAGAATCGAATCATTTTATAATCATGCTATTTCTACCTTATACAGTTCAATTTAATTGTCGAAATGAACAACACATTTCTGTTTTAATTGAATTTTCTAATTCTTATAAACAAGTAGCTTGGAATTCACCGAACCGTTCTATAATATGAACATTTTTTTTTTATGATTACGGTAATTTTCGGCCACTATTGTGCTTTCATTGTCCAGAAATTACTATTTCAAAACTCATAATCTCAGCGCTCAATACGCTGTGAACTGCGTGTTGAGTCAACACTTACATTATAATCGCGTCTTTATGTGTGGTTGCAAAGACGCATTTTGTTATTGTCATTTAACTTCTTTTTATTTTAAAGAACTGACCTTTTCCATTATCAGATTTTAAAGGCTTTATATAATAAAATTGATATAAATTCCATTAAAATTATCAAAAATTTTACGTATATTCTACACACATTATTTGATGTATAATATTTAGTTTAATTAGCACTCTTCAGCAGTTTAATTATTTTATTTCTAATTATTGATATATAATTATTCAAGTAGTTTCCTGTAAGTTTACTAGTTTTCACTATATTCCAACATCAATACAGTTAGATTAATTGACCTCTCAGTTATAACAAACATGATATTTTATGCATCAAATCTCACCACATTTATTCTTAGCGTTCTCATCTTTTAGCGTTTGGATAATCGGTCTTAATGTGGCGTTAACATTTTCGGCTGCACAAAAACACTATTAATAACTTAGTTATATTTTAAAGTCAATACAAAGTAAGGTTAATTTCTTCACTGTAAATATTTTATTCCGAAAGCTCTAAATATTGTAAGTAATTTAAATATAGTCACTTAACTCGTGCAGAGTATTTAAATATTCAATGTCTAAACGATAATCTCGATTAGATTTGGATCTCTTCGTTTTTTTAATTAGTACTGGTATTGAAGTGTGTCTATTAGCGACATTTTATATTATTAGGAAAACTACTTTACCTTATCTTTAAAAATTTACGTTTAAAACTTCTACTCATCATTATAGAAAATATAAATATCTGTATTACAGTGATAGCCAGACTTTTTGCAGCAACAGACGTACCTAAACTTTTTGGTATAAATTTGTGTTTTGTTGTGGCTCAACTTGCCAAGACTGTTGAAGAGCCGCATGCGGCTCGCGAGCCACGTTTTGGCCACTACTGTTATATTGTTTTCATTCATCTGTAAATTTTCTTAACAACGTTCTAAATATCGTCTTTTTAAGATTTGAAAAAATGTGTCATAAATGTTTAAGTTCAGATTTATTAACGAAGATGATAAAAATTGTTTAAATATATTTATTTATATAGATTTAATCAAAAAAAAAAACAATCAATTAGTTTAAACATTATAATATAGCAGTTATTAATATGATAAACTAACACTAGTTTCCGTATATATTCACATGTATAATAGATTATAAATCCAATATTGAATGTAGACAATTAGATCGTATATAAAAACACTGTGCCTATAATGTATAATAATTGACGCGATATAAACTTTTGTTTTTGAATGAATATATAAAAAATTGTAATAACATTAGTAAATATGTTTTTTTTTTTATTATAAATATCCAAAAAACATTAAAAAAGTTGAACTTCAATAATATATATATATATATTTTTTAAATATCGTGAAGAAACTTTTTGTCCTTAATCAGTCTTCATATTAAAAATCTTGGCGGTGCCGTCATCGGAAGTACTGAGAATGGTTTTCCCGTCCTTACACAAGCATACGCTCAGGATACCCTGTTTGTGACCGGTCAGAGTCTCAGACAACAGACCGCTCCGAGCATCGCAAATGTATATTGCACCATCTGTGGCTCCGATCAACAATTTCCCATCGTTTCTAAATTTCATCACCGTAACTGAACATTCGACTCTCGCTTGATGCCTCATAACTTGCCTTCCCAAGTCCCATACACATAGCTGCCCTTTTAAACTTCCGGTGGCCACAACGCCCAATTGCGTATTGAAAACAGCAGTTTCTATTTCGTCTTCTACCTTGTCCACTATGGTGCACAAACATTTACCATCAACTATCTTAATAACCTTTGCAGAAGGGCACGCGATCAAGAACGATCCATCATCGTTAATCTCAAGTGCGGTAACGTCGGACATATCTTGTTCGGAGCAGTTCCAAATGGTCGTGCAAGTTTTGATGTCCCACAATTTCACGGAACCATCTCCATAGCCGACGGCGAGTTTCTTGCCGTCCGGTAATATTTTCCCACAATTCGATGGATATCCGTGCGAGGGCAACACTTTGCAATCGCCGGAGGGTACTTTAAATACGTAAACATCCCCAGATTGAGTTCCTCCGATAACAATATTCGTCAATTGATGCCACACCAACCATTCCAAATCATCACCCTCGTAGCACCAAATCAACTTTTTCTCTTTGACACTCCACACCTGTATTAAACCTGAAACAAAAGTAATTTGTAAAAAAATACATTAAACTAATAAAGTTCAACATACATACCTCCCATATCTCCAGTAACGACTAATTCATCATTGTAATTAAAGCCGACATGTGTAACTGAATCTTTATGTCCAGTACATTCAAACAAAAGTTCTGCTGTTGATGTATCCCAAACGTAGGCCATATCATCTTCACCACCAGTTATAGCCAATTTACCATCAGAGCTCAACTCTCCGGAGAATACAGAGTTTCTGTGCATGGAAAAGGAGACTTTCGATAAATCTATAACATCTGCTTCTTCTTCCTCCTCTTCTTCTATCTCATCAGGTACATCAAAATCATCGTCGTCTTCCATTCCCTCGATTTCTTCGCCTTCTTGCAAATAGATGACTTCGACATCTTTCAGATCGTCCGGCAAATCGAATTCATCCATTATTCTAATTTATCCTACAAAATTTACTTGCCGACAACCAGACTTATTTTGATTTAAATCTAACCTTAATATGTCATGTGGAATTGAGCTACAAGGAAGTGAAATTAGTTATCAATTAGATTATTCAGTGTTGCCATCATTACTTATTTGAATGTATAAGCTTTTATAAACTTTTTATAAAATGATAAGTAAATTACTTTATTGGTCATAAATAAATGTTAATAAAATGTATTGTTTGTTAAATAATTATTTTTTTAATTATAAAGAGATTTATATCAATTACTATAAATCACTTTTGGCCCTTTTTCAGCTTATACTATGACACATTTTTTAAATATAAAGAGATTTATATCAATTTATTTATAAAGCTCTTCCCTATTTCTACCACCACAATTTTGTTGGTTTTTGGGAATCAAAGAGATTTATATCAATTACTATAAATCACTTTTGGCCCTTTTTCAGCCCTAACAAATTTTTGTTGTTTTTTTTTTGAGGATCGAACCAACTTCAGGCCGCCCTTCATAAACGCTTAAGTCAATAAGAAACGTAATCGTTAAATTACTTATATTTTTCATTTATTATTTTTATACTTATTTCCTAACTATATTATATAATTATATATATTTCTTAGAAATGAAACTGAAAAATTTGCTTAATTTATAATTATATATATATAGCAGTTATGGAATGCGACTTAATCTCATATTTAGGATAATCTAGTCGTCTTTATCGCTGAGATCATGAAAAGCTGAGCTTAATATGATTAATAATTAGGAAACCCGAAAAAGGTTTTATGCATTTTATGTTAGGTTTAGGAAATTTAATCCTTGCACTGTATAATAAACATTGATTTTAGAGCTACTTACATAAATTTATTACATTAAACTTATTATTAATATTAATATTTGTTATATAAATTTACAAAAAAAAAATATAATTTATACACATAGACAAAAATGAGAACAATTAACACTGTAACAAAGGAGTGCATCCTTATGTTATTAATATAAAATGTATTTTACATATTTTTCTTATGAATTATCACATATAATAAAATATAGAAAGTACACATCGCCAGCAAAGTAAATACAAAAGCATATATATGTAATGGAAACTATTATTATTTATATATCAAAAAAAATAAAAAAATACTGCCTTTACGAAATTATAAATAAATAATATTGCAAATTAACGTTTTGTATTTGAACATTTGATTATTTTAAAATATAATTTTTAAACCTGGAGCCGCCGTTAGTTTACTCGATGCCGGCATGTCCTTCTGCCTGGGCGTGCGACGGGGTGTGGTAGCAAAATCGGCTTTTCGTGGAGTTTCAATCAGAGGTACTGCCAATGCAGGCGTATCGCTGCAATCGTTAGCGAATATCGTGCTGCGACAGGAACTAGTCATACCTTTCTGCAATTGAATAGAAAGTAAATTGATGCGTTAGTAAAAATTTGGAAGATTGAAGAAAAAAAAAACAACTGCTAGCAATTAAATAAGGCGTGCAGAGTGTACTGACCAATTTTAAGAATCAACAAGGTCAATAGTTGTTTCTGCAATTGGCACTAAGCCCTGCAACAAATATTAAATAACGATACCAAACCACACTTATTCACAAGTACAACAAATAATATTGATTCGCAAACTTTGCAGACGGTTAAAACTTACCTCAAAACTGTTGTAATCCAAATCCGCATTCTTCTTTTTCTGCACTTCAATTAATTTAGATAAGCGGCGGATTCTATCAACTCGCTTCTTCTTTTCACTTGAGTAACGCAACTTAGTAATACCCATTCCGTTGAGCTGTATTTTAGGCGGAGCAGATTTCATATCTGAAGGAGAAAACGTGAGCAATCATATTAATCAAATTGAATAATTTCGGTGGTATTGATGGAAAACTTACGCTTTATTTTGTCGGCAGATTTCTTCCTATTTGAGAACAATGGAGTGGCCAGTCCTCCTTTTCTGTTCGAGCGATTATCGTTTCTAAGCGGGGTAGCTTTCAGAATATTAGGCGTTGCCATTGTGCTGGTTCCTGCAACGCACATTGTAGACTTTCCTGGAGTCACAGTTAAAACCCTCTGCTGCTTTCTCGCGCTCAATTTCAATTTTTTATCTTGTTGCCTGGTTTCATAGGATTTTTTTATGACCGAATCAATTGTTTCACCCCAATATGAAAATGGTTTTCCAACTTGAGTTTGATAATTTTCAACGAGAACGTACAACTTCTCCTCAATTTTTGGAATCCTTTTAGATAGAGTGTTTCTTTCTTTCTCCTCCTTTAAAAGCTGTCCACCGCGATTCTTGTATCTATTTGGTGCATTCGCCCTTTCCTCCAGTTCCAACAATTTTGACCACAAGTCTTCTCTCAATTGGAGCATTTCATATAACTCCCTGCAAAAAAAAAACAAATATTAAAATAATTGTAATGCAATTTAATGCGTATTTAATAACTTACTTATTATTTTCATACTCCTTCTTCAGTTTACAAATTTCTATGTCATGCAGTGTCAACAGATCTTCAGTAAACAAATCATCATAGAAAGAATCAAAGTATGTTCTTTCTTCTTCAGTCAAACAACATTTATTCCAGAGATCAATAATTTCGGCACGCATTTTCTTGATGAAAACTTCGATATTCGCTTTTTTCAGATCCTCGCAACGTTTTACTTCAAGCTTTAGACCTTCCAAGGTATCCAACGTATTTCCAGGATACCTTCGGAGGAAAACATCGCAGTCCTGTAAATCCTCATCGAGAATTTCCCAGAGAGATTTAATTTTCTCCCTGAGAGCGCAGACCTCAGCTTTAACAGTTTCTACCTGATTTACCATGGAGATATGAAAATCCTCCAACATCTTCATATTGACGTCGCTAACTATAAAATCTACGTCATTTGCAGATAAAATTTGCCTTTCAAATTCAATACTGGGTTTAAACTGTAGCTCTAAAGCTAACTGTTGGATTTCCTGTTTTAACGTTGTAAATTTCTCATCTCTTAAGTACTTTTCATTCTCCAGGGCCTCAATCTTTAATGTGTATTTTTCAATGGACTCAGATGATGGCAATGGGCAATCTGATATCTTAACGGCCTTCCTGCCCAAGCTTTTGCATACTTCAACTTCTCTCCTTATCAATTCGTTGATCTCTTTCATCCTCAAATCAACTTTATCTTTAAGTTCTTTCACCTGATCTTCCAGCGCTTGTTTGTCATTGTAAAGTCCTAGATTTTCTACGCCAAAAGCTGGCATCTGTACACTCAACTGTTTGCAAAGCAATTCGGATTGCTTTAAGAGTTTCTCTATGTCTTCAATCAGACATAATTGCTTATTTGCGACTTCTTCCACAATTGCGCCCATAACATCTTGGATCTCTTCTTTGAATGTGGAAGTCCACTCTTTTAGGCATGTCTCACCAATGCCCAGCTTTTGTATAATACTACCCCAAGCTTGAACATTGCTTGTTGTAATTTGATGAATATCATCAATCAACGTCTGTTGCCAAGGCTCCATCTAGCAAAAAAATAAATAAATACATTTAATTGTTAAATTTTAAGTTGCATCATTAATTTTATCTTTCGATGATTTAAACTGTTGGCAGCAACTAATGTGAATTGAAGCTAGATGTATTTTTAACAATATGAAAAAGGATCAGGTAAAATGTTTTTTTTATGATTGAAGAAGTGCTAGAAAGCTTTAAAAGTTTTCCTTTTCATAATATTAATATATCTTACGACAAAAGTGAATGATTTCTCTTGCATTTCACGTAAAACTGAGAATGCTTTTGATCAACAAGTGCTAATTTTATCCAATTGTCATCAAAACCCTTTTGGTTTTTACAAAGACCGTTTATCGAGAAACATGAACAGACGAATGTTTTAATGTAATTACATCTTCTTACCTTTGCCTATGAATTTGTTCACTAAAAATAAAGAAACACACGACACGACACGACTCTTAAAATGTATTTTTTTTTTCAAATCACAACGGACAATTCAACACACAGGACACAACGTTGTTCGTTACAGATCGGCTCTGAAATGTGAAGCACTGACGCATTTACGGACGTCAGCCAAACTAAATACAAACGCCGGCGACGCAAGCGCCACCTTGGAAACATTTGAAAAGATAATGTGAAACAATATTTAATATACACGATTCGTTATTGCAATTATTATTACATCATCATTAATTCGTATTTTCAAATTTGTAGCAATTAATACGCTCGATAATATGTTCAAAAAATGCTTATAAGATATAATAAAGATTTGTCGATGGTGGCGCCATCTTGCGACATTAGTAACAACGTCAACAATTTCATAATATGAACGTCCAAGAAAACCGTTAAAAATTCAAATGTTTTTTTTTAAACAAACTAACAATTGAATTAAATAATTTTTATAATGATTGCAATAAATATTGTTTCTTTTTTTTATTATTATTATACAAAATCTATTTTTTTTTAATAAAATTACAAATTGTAGGTGGCTTAAAAACAATAAGTTTTGCAACAATTCATGTTTTCTTTCGTACTTTTGTTTGTAATTATTTATGTAATTTGCATTGACTAGATTTGTGTAAAGAATTAGTATTAGGATTCTATAGAACGAGGTACATATTAATCTGTTTTATACTAATTATTCGCAATATAGGAAAATGTTATCGCAACTGAAAACCTAAATATTACTAAAAAACATAAACAAATATACATTTTATTAATAATATACAATGTAAATTATATAAAGAACTCTGTTTTTCTTAATTATAGTCAATTTAAATTGGATTCTTCACTTTCCAGGATTTGTTAAATTCAAAAGTTTTATTGGCGTCAACTTTCCCACGTCTGTGCTAATCCCTTTAGCAGGTAAATCCTTCAATTGTTGCTTTACGGAAAATTCTTTTCCTTAAACCATAAAATTTCCAGTTATTTCATCCCCCCAATAAACAAAATCCATGAAAGTTATACAAAATCATAGTTTTCATATTCCCAAACTTTTTCGGTTTCCGACTCCCTTAATATATCAGAATTTTTCTAAATCAAAACATTGGTCTATCTCAGGGTGAATTTTATATTAATAGTAGTTTTTTACAAATTTTGCGGCACCCCTGTAACACAGTCTCGGGGGTGTCGCGGTTCACAGTTTAAGAAACCCTGGTATAATCTCGATTATTGAGAGATCCACTGATGATTCCTTGTTTTCTTCTGTTCCTAAACCCATTATGGTTTTTTTCTTTCTTATCCAAATCATAATCATTAGCTGTTTAATCTGTGTCTACATATTATTAATAATCCATACTTAGGATTATATGCTAATCCGAAGATCTTATCACACGTACCTGTTCTCTTCGTAATAGTTTTGCACCTTTCAAATTTCTATTACCTGCATTTCCAATAATTCCTCGGTTCATGTTGTGTGTGTTGTATATACTGAAATTTCGTTCTTTCATTTTCAGATATTTTACATTTATCAGAAAGATCAACTAATTCTTTATAAAATCTATTAATAAAAAATCTCCAAATCTTAATAACACTCAGGATTAAAACATTAATTTAAATTTTACGGAAAACATCTACTTAAAGTAGTTCATGAATTACTTTAAAACTTATTGTTTTTTAACTCAACAATAATGTATTTTGTAATTTTGTTACTAGATTAATATCAAACATGTATTTTGTATTATAATAAAGAAAACAATGTTACGCAGTTTAAACTCATAGAATAGAATAATTTATAATTCTTCAATAGACGCGACGGCCTTATAAAAAAAATATTGCAAAAATTACAATTATGACAACTTATTGACAACGTTAATTCAGTAAAAAAAACAAGCAAACTTTAAACAAATGACTATTCATTTGAATGAGTAACAAAAACTGACATCTGTCAATAACCCAAATTACCAAAACCGATAACGACGACGCAATGTTAAGCAATATATTTCAATTGGAATGCTGCAATAGAAACATATAAATAGCATATAATTAACATCATGATTGTAAAAATATAAGAATTTATTTAAAAATCAAAATTTAATCATTTTGTATATTTTTGATAAACGTCAAAAATTTCTGAAACAAAATCATTAAAGAGAGTGACAGCCCTTGACATAAAGTTCATTTTGTACTAATTTCAGAGATGAAAGCCCTTTCTAGTAATTCGGGAGGCTCCGAAATAGACGATCAAAGTTTGATGTTAAAAATGTCGTTCCATATGAAAAATTGTTCAGGGCAATCAAATATTAAAATCAATATACATCAACGTCATCAATTTCTAAAGGAAGTCTTTTGACATTTCTAAGACAAAACATTGCCAATTTGATTATAATCGTGAAACATAAATTATCATTATATTATTGCGCGTAATAAAAATTGAATAGTTCAGCATACTTGATTGTATTATTTAACTTATTAAAACGAATCAATCGACTGTAATTTCCAGTTTTTGTTTTGTTCTTTTTTTTTACTTTAATCAATTAGAAATTATGATGAGCGCAATAGTTGCTCGAAACTGAAAGTTGCATGACACAGTTCCGATGCACACGTTATTCGTAACGCACATCGATTGTTGTTATTGTTTTATTCAAACTTTGCTCAATCAAGAAGCGTGCGACGGATGTGCCCCGCATGCTAACACTAAACCTTAAAGAAGAGATGAACGCGGTTCAGGTGAAGGTCATCGATTAGCAATTGATTAGTTCCACAAAAGGAATGAACATATCTTATTGGAATACTAAAACAAACAATTCTTTTGCGTATTTGTAGTAGTATTAATAATTTAACGAGACGATTATTTAAAAAAAAAAATGTATTTTCAATAAAATAAAAATAAGACATCGGCCTCATTCGCCGCACCGATACAAAATAAAAATAATTGTTAAGGAGAGAAAAATAGTCTTTGTTCCGCGTAAATTATCACAACAACAGTGCGTCAGGAATGGTTGGGACTCAGAAGTTGGGCGTGGGTGTGTAGACGGCGCCCCAGAAGAGTACCAAACCAGTCTCGTGGTTCCAGATGAAGAACAGGAAGGGTACGTCCACGCGGAAGGTGATGATGTCGCCACCTCTGGAGAGACTGACGGAGGTGGCTGCGGCAGCCTCCGTTCCCGTCTCCGTTATATCCATGTAGACCTTGTGCAGAACTTTGTCGGCGTACAGATGCGGATTGTCGTTGGGACCCAACGTTTTCCTCACGTCGTCCAGATTCATATCCAGGCTGCGGCCCGCGTCCAGCTTCTGGTCTTTTCCAGGTGAAATCAAGCTCAGATCCGCCTCCAGAGGATGGAAAAGCGTCGAAGATCCGAGTTTCGCGAGAGCTTCACGCAGATTCAGCGTCGACGTCAACTTCATCTTGGGGAATTGCAGCACCGACGTCTGGTACTTGGTGTTCGAGACCATTCGCTCCACGTCTTCTGGAGTTAACCTCTGCTGAAGCGCCTGCAGCTTCTCCTTGCTGGAATCGATCGGCTTCACCACGTACATCGTCGACTTGTTGCCCAGATACGGGAATCCCAGAATCTCGCAGTTTAGAATCATATCCTTGTAGTACGGAAACTTCCCGCCGTTCGACATCATTTCCACCATCTTCGTGCTCTTCGATTTCGCTCCATCCGTGTAAAACGGCCGCCTTGCGTCGAAAACAAATAAAACATTTATTAGAATAATTGCAAACTTCTCAAAACTTTAAATTTTCATATCGGCAACATCGATATGTACAAAAATTAAAACATTCTTTTGGCACAACAAAAATGTTCATACGAAAAGAAAAGAAATCCCAACATCAACCACAAAATTCCACATTTCTTATGACATAGAAAATCCTATTCAATAACAAATTCGCATTTCCATCATTGGAATACATAATTTAGATAATCATTTCGAGGTCGCAATTTCAGCAGATCAAAACCACTACGCTAAGACAGAATGATATAAAATTTTAAATATTCCTCAACATTGATAACATTTTCGAGGCCAAAACAATAGTATTTAATTACATGATACATTTCTTCTTAGATTAATTCACTATTATCAATATAGTTTTAAATTTAGTTTGATTGATAATATTTTCGAGGACGAAACGATTGGTTTTGAAAAGCAACAAAAACGTGATATACTTCTTTCATTATTGACGAATACTTTATAAATATTTTTCAAAGCAACATCAGTATTATGGATTTTTCAATTATACTGTAATTTCCATTTGTATTTGAAACAATTGGTTTTTGAATATTTGATTTAATATCTGAGTTTTATGAACATTTTGCTTAATTTGATGCAATAAAAGTGAAATAGAAAAGCAAAATATTTTTTACCTTTTGGTGGAGAAGAACGGATGTTCCCAAACGGCTTTGAAATAGAGTGCGCCGGCAATGATGATCTCGGTGTCGGAGGGTGGAACTTCTTCGAGGATGTCCTTGATCTTTCCGCCCGTCTTCTCCGAGACCCAATTGTCGATCAACTTCTTCGCCTCTTTCCTGCCATTCTTGAAATCAACGGCGGTCACCTCGCTGGAGTAGATGCGCTCGCTGGCGCTCTTATACTGCGGCCGAATCGGGTAGTCTTTCTGCAGGAAGATGGCAGAAGCCAATTTCACGTCCTCCCCGTATCCCAGCTGAGAAACGCTCGAGATGCGCCTCAGCAGAAGTCCGAACTTTTCGTGCAACATCTGCCCGTTCCTCGTCCCATCGAATCCCAACACTTGCGCGAGTTCTTCGTGCGTCTTCCCGTTTGCTCCCAGAAGAACATCGGCAAGGACCTCTGTTTTTTATTTTAAATGAATTAATTATACATTATAATAAGATCAATTGCTAAATTCACCTGCAATGTTCAGCGGCGAGAAGACAACATTATCGAGTCCCATATACTCGGATTCCAATGGGACGACTTTGGCCAACTCGAGGGTAAGATTGAGAACGCCGCGGGCTATGCTCGTGTCCAGGTGAGCCGTCTCCCTGTGCTTCATGTAGACATCGTAGATGGACGTGGTGAAATCATCTTCGGGGAAGGAAATTTGGCAGCGGATCGCTTGGATCCAGCAGCACAGTCCGAGCAGCAGCAGGAACTTCATCTCACTGAAACGCAGAACCTCGCGGTTATCTATTGACGTAACCTCGCGGCTAACAACAAAAAAAAAACGATGTTGCTGCTGTTGATTATAGTAAATAAAGAGCGCGCGCGGTTTTCCAAATAACAAAAAAATAAAAACTTTTCATCAATCAAACGATCGCTTGTGTGGAGAAAATTGCTTCCGGACTTTTTTTTTGTGTGTGTTGTTATTTGCGGCGCTTTCTTCTTTGCGAAAATAACCGCGTTTCCGGCAGTTATTGGACGCGCTTACCTTGGTCGGATGTACAGTGATGTGTATTTTTTTTTCCGTCGTTGTTTGCAATTCGAATTAGTTTTCGGTTTCGTTTGATTTCGCCAAAATATAAATAAAATTCTCGTCTCTTTCTCTTCTGGATGTTCAGATGATCTTCGTGCTTGGCATGTCGTCGTCTGCACTGGCCTCTTCCAAACAGCAGTATTCTTCGTTCGTTTCGGCCGCGATTTATGGAATTATTGTTTATGAACGGTCGCGATCTGTATTTGAATTGAAATGAAGAGAGCCCATCATCGGGAAACCATGTGCATTACAACTAGTTGACCTTCCCCACCTTCGGCCAGTGGTGTGCGCGGCTCCAACAGCCTTAATCACTTATGTAAACGGCGGATGGAAGTCGAGACGCGCGCGTATGGTCATCATGCTTCGTTCGCCTCCCTAAATTTCGCCCGCGGATCGTTGTCCATCCGTGCATTAAACTCTCCGACTCTGCCCACCCATCCGACACGTACATGGGCAACACACACCTTCCTCTCGCTGCTCTCAGCTCAGCTTCAATCTCCCGTTGCGATACACACACTCTCCTCCTCTCCTTTCATCTCTCATTTTCAGATTCGCTCAATTAAATCCTATCTTCGTCTAAAGCAAAACGCATTACGGTACCACAAATTCATTACACTTTACATATTCTCTGTTAAAAAAAAATGTATAATACTCTTCATAAATTTATCCTTAAAATACAATTTACTGAACTATCTATTAAGTTCTAACACGTTACTTCAAACTAATTTTTCAGAAACTCCTTATTCTCCAATTTTATTCAATTTTCTACCAAACGTTACTTATATTATCGTATTATAAGAAATTGAAAAGAAATTTGTATATTTAATTAAGAAAATTTTAGTTATTACATTTTTACAAATCGACATTTTAACACTTAAAATCTATAATTTCAAACATATTTTTTTTAAATTCCAAATTCTCCAATTTTATTCCATTTTGTACCAAACATTACTTACATTAATCTATTGCGAGAAATTGAAAAGTAACTTAAATTACAATTTTTCAAAACGACAACAGTCAAATATCAAACTTATTTTCTTTAATTTTCACCCAAACATTACACGTATTTAAGAAATTGAAAATAAAATTAAATACTTGCTTAAGGAAATTCATTTAGTTTTTTTTTTTTTCTTCAATTGGTCATTTTAACAGTTGAGAAATTGAGAAAATCCAAGAGTTGAACAACGAAACTTCCCAAAAGTAAAGTTGGCCTCGTAACAAGCGCAATCCGTAATTAAACAATTGAATAGCGTTTCTAAGAAGTTTAACATGTATAAAACATATGGTATCGCGAACAGATTACGGTGGTAATTGCATTTCAATAATTATCATCGTAATGAAAGAACACGTACATTCCATTAATTTTGTACGTAAACTTTCTTATCACCGTCCGTCTGCAAAATAAATACGAAAACAATGGATTCATATAAAGTACATTCTATAAACTCAAAACAAAACAAAAAATTTAAAACACGTCCATGAACTTTAGTCCTTTTTTTAAGCTAATCAAACCTTGAATTAATAAAAACTGAACTTATCCTGCAACAACGTCAACAATAAAACAAGAAATGCAGTTTCTTTGATATCACATTTTAAGATGTTTCTAATAAATTTTTAGTCAATTATTTCATTGTAGTTAAATCATTTAAATATACGACTACAAAAAAAAACAGATTCTGTATTATGAAAAGTTTCCATTAGAAATGCATATTTTTTGAGTTATTACGTTAAGTATGCACTGGAAAATTAAAGGCACGTGTACATCTCGAGATTCGTTAACAATCACGATTCGATTCAGGCGGATGTAATATTTAAATTTATATATAAAAAAAATAAAAGTTTTCAAAAGTCATGTAAATTTACAAACTGATTTAACAACAAAAAAAATTACTTCAAGGCAATGAATGTAAGTTAAAATATCATGCAACCTCTGATTTAATAATAATAAAACAACGGACTATTATTTTTATGATGTGAGAATGAACGATTAAGTAATTTGAAGACAATTGCTTGAAAAAATGTTATCAAAAAAAAATCAAATAACGGAAATGTTGCGAAACTTAAATATTCTTCGTTTGTTTGTGTGAGTGTATATTATATTCTAGTGCAGGTGTTTTACATATAGAATCGTACGGAAGAAAACGCGAAATGCAAAACACCTGCATGACTCAATGATGATACCGAAATGATAATTATTTTACTTATATTATGTGTGTAATACTTTATCAATGTTGTGAGTGCGTTCCTTCTTATCACCGAACGAAGCGACGGAAAACACAAGTCGCGACTCCTCAACCTTGAGCGAAAAAAAAAAAAATCCCCGAATCGGCCTCGAAAAGCGCGAAAACACAGCGACGCGAAGTACTCGAAATAGAAATAAAATAAAAATGAACCGTCGAAAAAGGACCTCCACCGAAGGATGTTATATAATGCGAATCCATAAATTACGAGCGAACAATCACCGCGGTTATTTTTTATTTATTTTTTTATATCATTGTTGTCGACGGAAAAGTCCAAGATCACACTTTCGAGTATTGTGTTCTATTTTCAGGCCGGAATTCGGGACATGAATTGCAAATGTGCAGTTGTGTGTGTGTTTGGTATTCGGATGATTGGTGAGGTCGTGTAGTTACTCACCGTCCGGAAATTTCGCGTCTATAAAAAACGATATAAAAATATAATGAGCAAATCGTTTTAATTATATAGAAAATGCGGATGCTGCCGCATGCAACAAATGCATAGATGCGATTGAAAGGTTCATGTAAAAAGAACAAAAAGGAAAATAATCGAGAACGAAATATAATTGAAATAGCAATGACCTAAATATTGTTGTTCGCACTAAAAAAAGAAATAAAAGCAATTATAAAGCGCGCGTCCACTTTCAAAACATCGACTCGAACCGATTTTAATTTGAACGAATTACAATTAAGTGTGGTTTCTGTGTTAACAGCTCTTCCCATTCATACATCACTTTCTTTTCCATCCATTGAATGTGTGTCATCAATTCACTTCTGATGATTTTTGGAGATTGTTATAAGTCGTATATATTTTATTATAGTTATAGCGTAGTATATAAACATGTAAATATAAAATGGTATGTTATTTTTTTTACTTATCAGCAGATGCCTTGGAGAGGTCGGATTCGACGGTGGAAGTGGCAGTTGGAGGTTGCTTGCAGTTGCTGCAAAGATTCGTGTCTTTTCGGTACTCGAAACACCTGAGGGCTCTGATCAGCGCCGCGATTTCCCGCAGAAAGAACCCGATGCCCTCGGCCAGAGGTTGGCAAATGTCCCTCACGGAAGTGGCCACGTTGTAGGTGAAGATCAGGGGTGGCTGAAGGACGGCATTGAAGAGGGTCGCGAGGAGCGGTTTCAGGCAGTAATCGGAGATCAGTTGCGCTAAACCGACGGTCAGCGGTCTCACCAAGCTGGACAGAATGAATCTGCAAACGATTTCGATTATTTCTTGATTGATCGTAATCAGAAAACGTACGCGACCTGATGAATTGTAGGACGAAGGACGTGAGGAAGGAGAATCCGATGTGTATGGATCCGAAGAACTCGGCCCAGAAGCGCGTCGTGTAGTGCTCAGTCTTCTCTGCCAGGATCTCAGTCATTATCAGTGGTGGAGAATCCGTGGTCTGAAAATAACTGAGGCAACATTCATGATGGAACTTTGGGGATGAGAGAAAGGTACGCCGCGTTTCCGTGGTCAAAATAGTACACGTCCACGCGCGCCATGTCTCTGATGTTATCGACGTGCGGCGGCAGTTGATCCTTCTTCAGTTCGCTGTAGAACGTTTGCTTCTGGGAATTCCGGGACTTGTGCTTCATCAGGATATTCGTCAACGAGTTGCTCTCGCAGGAACGATCCTGAGGTATTCCAGAGTTACCGTACACACTCTTGTTCCAATACACGGGAGTACTATTCTGGGACATCTTCTGTTTCTTCAGACTCATACAGACGCTGGTATTTGTAGCTGCGTTCGTGCAACACGGCCTCGGCATTTCCTCCAGACGATCAAAGATCACCCTCTTGGGAGGACTGCTTTCATCCGGTGGTTGCAAAATATTAATCCTATACAAATCTATCGGTCGCTCGCATTCCTTAGTCGAGCTCTTCATCTTAAAGAAACTGGAGATCTTCGTCAGCGCGCTATTTCCCATCTCCTTAACTTGCCGATTCATCACCTCCTGTTCAGCGTTCAGATCGCAAACGCATCGGCAAGGCTTCGGCTCCAAATAAACCTCAACGCTATCCGTTGGAAACGAAGACATCTCGGAAACATCGCGAGGCGTATTCAGAGAATGCGTATTCTGAAAATTCTTCAGCTGAAAACAAATAAAAATCAATTTCCCGCTCTAAAATACGAATCAACATACGAATTTCGTTTCGCTGACCTCGTTGACGATGGCGCTCGTAATTTGAGGGGTTTCTGGCCCCATCAGCTCGATCACATGTCGCAACTCGCTCTTCAACTCCTCATCTTTACATCCGATATCTGCACATTAAAATAAACATTAACTTCTTAAACTTTTTTATTCAAATTCGTATACCGCAACTGTTTTTTCCGCTCTTCGGCATACCTGAAATACTTTATAAATAGTTTTGTAAAGCGATGACACTGACAGAAAAACAGGTTAATTTCAAATAAAATTGTTTTCTAATCGCAATATGAAATAATCTTATTAAATTTGCTTATATTTTAATAACATTTTCCTGTTTTAAGTGTAGAAAAATCACTTACCTAATTTGAATTAAATATGTTACGCTGTTGAGGTTGCATATCAGGTTAAACATTTGAAAGCGACATCTATTTGCGGCTGTTTCGCGAATAGTAATAATTAACATTTTGTACATAAAATAGATATATTTATTATTATTAAAACGTCTTAATTGAACAAGTATAATTGGTTTTTTTCTTCTTAATATGAGTAAACGAAATTAAAAGTGTAAAAATGTCTACATTCCTGTCATCATCCAAGCGGGTTAAGCTTACGAACAAACTGTAAAATACGTGTTTTAGTAATTGGGAGAATAAAATATGTATGGAGGAATATCTGAAATCCTTAAAAAAAAAACAGGCAAAAAGAAAGCTTCGCTGTTATTTTAGTTTGTAGGAAAATTAAATGAGTGGAGTTGATAAAATCTAAAATTTAGATCGTGTTTATATATGTGTAGGATGGATGGAGGTCATAGAACTAGAAATATGAAGTGTGCAGGCCGTTTTCGTATGCCTTGTCCACGTTGGCCATCAATTCATTTTCGATGCTATCAGTTGAATCATCTTTGGGCGAACTTTCAGCGATCAGCGGCAGTCCCAGGATTTGTCTCACCTCGTTGGTCAGTTGTGAAGACTCCCGGATTTGATAATACAATCCCTCGGCATTATCCAATATATCGTTCACATCCAACTTGCCGGATAAATCATTGACGTGCTGCAAAACGATAGCGTTACTAACATTAATTGGTATTTGCTATCAAAAAAAAACCTTTAGAATTTCGTTAAATCCCATTTCTTCACCGATGAACTCGGACTGCTGCTTCTCCAAGATGGCAATGGAAATCAGCAGATGGAAATTGTTGCACGGATGATTGGTCCACACCACTTCCCATAGCCTGAACACGTCATGCAGTTCGAATTCGCGCTTGAAGAGCACGAGCAACCACCGGAAGCAGAAGAACATGTTTCCGGATTCCTGGTTGTCCAGGTAAGATGCCAAAGTCGGATTGGAGAACTTCAGCAGGATGTACAAGTTGGAGAGTTGCGTCTTCATTCCAGCCTGATCCGCGTCGAAGTTCGTGCACTGCAAATCGCAGATCTTTTGTAATTTCTTTTCCGCTGCATTCTGCGTCTACTCACGACTCGCTCCATGAATCCGGCAAAACACCAGAACGCATCGACCTCGTTCTGGAGAAGATAGAGGATGGGCGACAGCAGATCGCTCATTCCTTGTACATAGCCCAGATCGAAGTTGTGCATGACGTAGGTCATCAGGATGTCGCTCATTGCTTGCAGATTCTTGTTATTATCTCCGGCGTAGAATGGAAGGGTCCTGTCCGTCCGTGTCACGTCCTTCTCCACCAGACTCAGGCGATCTCGTAATTGCACAAAGTTCTGTAACTGCCATGGCTTCAGTGTCTTCCACTGCAACTTCATATCGTAGTAGTCCTGTTCCTTTTTCCCCAGGATCGTCTTCCGATCGGCGTTCGAGCTGTTCCATGGATAGAAATCGAGCATGTATTTCCACACTACCTTTCGCAGCGATGGAGCGATTCCCTGTCGACAAAGCAAAATATTTGAACGACTTAATGGACGCAGCTTCAGCAATTCTTAATTTTCTCAATCATGGGTACCGCATTAGAAGTTATTAAGAATCTCTGAGCACATGAGCAAAAAAACAAATGTTATGGAAAGTAATAATTACCCCACGAAATATATGGAGTTTTGTATACTCAACATCCTCAATTCTACCTTCTGAATCCTGCAATGCGGTCCACTGATCATACGACAGTGGGTTTCCTCGCGGGTACTGCAACCGCGAAGGTAATTCTGGTGACGAATGAATGATCTCGTAGTCTTTCGGACTTGCTCCGTCGCTTGACTCAACTCCTCTTTCATACTCTTTGACATCATTCGTAATCACTTCTTCCTCGATGGGCTGCGGCGAAGATGAGGGCATAACTGCAACAAACATCCTTCAGCTTCCACCTAGTTACCACTCACGTCCTTACAATTATTTCCAATGGTATTTCCAATCTTCGCAAAGGCTCCAAACGCCGTCTCCACCGGTTTCTCCTGGAAGCTCCTAACGAAACCCCACACGATACTGGCCGACTGCGAGTCCTGGAACAGGTCCAATGTGGCGAAGGATTTGTTCAGCTGCAGCGTCTCGTCGACGATAATGTGAATATTCTTGTCGCGTTTCGAGACCGTCGTTTTCAGCAGCCCTTTGAGTGCAGCAAAAAGGCTGAAGCAATTCCCATGTTGGAAGAAGAAATGACAGAGGATTTCACCCTTGCCATCGAAGAACGTCATGGTATCATTCTTTTTGGATACTTTAAAACTCCTCACTTGATTCATATCCAATTTTATGTATTTGGGTTTTGAATCTGGAGGTTGTGGACTCATTTGTTCACCTCTGTAGATGGCATTCACAAATGACCATTCTGAGTCATGACTATCTGAGTGGACGGTGACAGAATTTGGTTTCCACTCAATAAATCTGTCCTTGGTGTTTGCATACTCGGTTATGTACAGTGTACCTGATTCATTGAAGTATTGTATGTAATAGCTGTGGGCCTGCTTGAGAAGTACCCCATCCTGTGAGAACAATTCCATGCATCCTTCACAATTATCCTCCATTCTATAAAATAACTAACATTTAACTTGAGGAACAGAACAAGACTGATTTGAAATGCGTTTCTTTGCAAATTCTGATAAGATAAAAAGCAAGCATAAAAACAACAGAGCAGTAAAAAAACAATGAATTTGAGCATATTTACTGAATCTTTTCTGTATTCTCGACTACAATTAGAATTGGATTGGGAATCGAATAATCCTCGACATTTGTTTTAGGCAATATTTCACAACAATAACAAACACTTCCTTACGATGACAGCTGATTTATATGTAGATGCATATACGACATATGCTAAACGCTAACGCAAGACCGGTCTGCGGATGTTCTCAGCACTAATCAGCCAGACACCAAGAATACAATTCACATAGGCAACTTCAAATACAGAATAACTTTATCAATGAGATAATACTGCTTTTTATCATTACTTCACCATGTGATGCAACATTATTTGAAAATCTTTGATTAGTTTATGTGATTTTCTTTCTGCTTCATCAATTTTAACAATGGGATTGAGGAAATTGAGGTAATTAAAATCATATCTAAATATAAAGGTTTTTTTTTATTAATATTTTTCTTTTATTCTTGAGTCACATCGACGTTCTCGGTCAACAAGTTCTTGAAAGATGCGACTGGTACGTATGTTACCCAGGTGAACAACTTGTTTACGGAATCCTCGTCGTCGTTCCTCCTGCGGGAAAGGCGTACCCTGACGCGACGGGGAACGTTCCTAAAACAAATACAGAATTAAGCAAAATTGTCAAACATTAAAAGAAATAACATCAAATGAAAAGAATTAAAATCCTTCAATTTCATGCTCAGATCGTGATGTACGTAAAATTCAATGCTCAATAAAGATAGAAATGAAATCTTGGCGAATCGAAATAATAAAGGAAAACAATATAGTTTATGGGCAAAAGCTGAGTAATAAAATAAACAACAAATAGGAACTAAATATGATTTTAGATAATTAATAATTTTGAAATAGTCACAAACGTCTGGAATAAACAAAACGTGAAGTTCTGTTGTTCATCGGTCGTTTCCTTGATGCGTATTTTGATTTGTCACTGATGGACGTTTCTATTTACTGATGCTTTTATAACGAAGCCCATAAGTTTATAGAAACATCGACAGTAGCACAAAATAATGTGTCTCTACGTCGACCTGTTTGCGCCTTCTGTTCGATACACAAATATGTAGCAAATTGCTGAAACATTCAACACTTGTATACACGCATTTGTTATCGTAAATCACTCCAGGCCCAAACTTTATGTTTACAGTTAATTAAGATTTAAAAGATTATCACCAACAATTCAAACACACACACAATAAAACAGTGATTAAGAACTGTAAATGTAGGGTTTAACATGAGATTCAAATGTATAATACAAATTGAATGTATACACATGAGTAATGCAAATTTACAAATAGTTTGATTTCAAACTACTATGAATTTAAATTGATTTACATTGCAGTAGTTGTTGCTAAGTGAAAGCACAACTCAAGCAACCCTATATAATGTACAGAACGAAAACAATAACATACCTGACACCCTTGGACCACAGTTGTTTGTTCAAACGTGTGTCGATCCTGACATCTGGGGTTCCCATGGCCTTCATGGCGAACTTCCTGATGACCTTAATGGCACGGGGGGCCTTCTTCTTGAAACTGATGGTGCTCAAATGTTTGCTAATACACACGGTGTATTCCCTGGTAACGACTTCATTGATTGCGGACTTGCCTTTCTTTTCTCCCTTAGCTTTAGCCATTTTTATTGCCTAAAACGAAAACAGAGCGTAAAAGAAATGATCGTTAAAGTGCAACGAATGTAGTTAAAAGGTTCGACAAACGGCAACGGCAAATGCACATAACCTTCAAATGTTGGGAGGATAACAACAAATGGGATTTCGTTAAAAAATTACGGGATTCGGACAAAAATTCTCTTACGTATTGATTGTTAACGGTGTGAAGGATACTTATTTGATGATTTCGTAAAGATTTTACCTAATTTCGAGCGGATGTTTCAGGATTTCGGGAAGAATGAAAATAAACTTACCGTTTACAGTCACAGCTGAACACGAAAGAGGTTAACCCGATATTCTCGATTTGACGTTTCGCCTCTGTATCGGTAATGGCGCTCTCTGTAGGTCGGTAACGAAGCATTAAAATCTCTGGAAATATTAATTTCCCTTCATTAAATTACACAGAAAACATCACAATTACTTAATTGAGAGCTATAATTTAGTTTGAGAAAAATATTTTAATGTATTTACAAGTAAAAAATAAATAGCAAAAACAATGATAACAATTACAATGTTACTAGTTTACATTAGATGTCGCCACATACTTTAATGCTAACTTTAAATTAACTTATTTACTTATAGTTAATTTAATAATAAATAATATCAAATTATTATTTTTCAACATTAAAAGTAAATATTATCTCACAAAAATAACAAACAAATTGATTAGTCATAAAATAATTAACAAATTCTTACATAGTCCATATGTTTAATATAGTTTACGAATCTAATATTGCGTCCCAACAACATATGCACTTATTTAAACTATAAAAATTTGATTGAAACAAAGTTTATTAAAGAGCGTCGATTGTTGTTGTTTATCCAACACTAAAGTTCCGCACTTTTCCGATACTTCTTTGTCAGGTGTTTGCAACAGCTCGAAAAATCTTTCGCGAGTTTTAAAGCTCCCTTCAAATCTCCTCCTGCATCGAGCATCTTAATCCACATCCACAATATCCGGATCTGCCGGAAGCCATCAGAAAACTACACGGCGAAATTAGTTGTAATCCTTGCATTGCTTAAACATAACAAGAAATAACTGAAAACGTTTCATGAAATAAAGCGGATTAATTATCAATTTAAAACATCGAACTTTAAATTCGTTCCACTTCGAATGCGCAAGTTTTTTTTCTTTTCTTGCACTGTTAAACGTGAAATAGTTTTACGATGAAACTGGTTTAATAATTAAATCGGTAATTATTTGTTTTGAAAACTTATATAATCTGTTTCTTCTCGAATTTCATTTTGAAATTTTGTATTTCAACATGTTTTTTTTTTAAATTTAATTTCATCATAATCACATCTCACAATTGAATAATAAACACAATGATTATCTTCTTTTATATTATAGAAATTTAAATGAACAATTATGATAACTGTATGTTTTTTATTTCAGCTAATATTTTTCTTGGAATAGGCTAAGTTAATTTATTCTTTCTCTGGTCAATATGCGGAGAAATTTTTAGGTGTTTCTGAGAAACTTGTAGATGTTGATTGAGATGTGAAGTCAATACAAAGTTTTGGGTTTTAGGTTTAGGTCATGGAAGTAGGTTAATTTGTATTGGGATTGCTCAATATTCGCGAATGGTCTGATGCTCGATGGCAGTGGTGGTGGTGTCTTTAAAACTATTGTCTCGAGATTTTCGACGTACCAAAGTGGTATGTGAGTGAGTGAGTGAGTGTGCATGTGTATGTGTATAGTAAAACGAAACCTGTTTGATTGAAAAAGCCAGAGGCGTGCTGGTCAGTGTTACGGGTCCACGGAAGATCTTCGGAGACCTTCGCAGGCGGCGATCCGAGAGCGTGCGTAACCTGGTTTGACCCTAAAACTGCGCCCATGGCTATTGTTGTTTACTAAAATGTGACCAAGAGCAAGGTGCACGGTGGAGTAGAGAATCAAACTGGTATCGTGTCGGGGGGCCCCGTCGTCGTTGACAGAAGAAGAGGAAGACAGAGGACGGAGAAGAAGAAGAAGAAGGAGGAGGAGACGTGAGACGGTATGCGGTCGAAGAACAGTGTCCTCGTCGTCGTCGTCGTCATCATCAGCATAAACATCAACATTGTAGTAAGTGTCGACAGCAGCAGCAGCAGCAGATGATCCGCATGGATCAAGGATAAAAAGTGGTGCATCAGCGGCGGCAGCAGGACTACCATCTCTTTAAAGAGAAGAAACAGAGGAAGAGGAGAAGACGAAGAGAAATAGGAGAAGAAGGAGGATTAAAAAGGGGAGGAGGAGGAATTCCGAGGAGGCGATGGTGACCGGTGGCCGAGCGGTGGCGAGTACGTGTTAAAGTTTGAGCCCCCGAGGGCCACCGAATAATGAATCTTGCTGACCGACAACTGCTGGAGGATAACAACCAAGAAGTGCCATGGCCCAGCAAATGAACGGCGTCGTCGTCGTCGGCGGCGGCGGTGGCGTCTCTTCTGCTGGTGGCGGAGGAGGTGCATCATCGACGATCTCCTCTACGTCCTCCGCCTGCAACGACCATTGGGATCTGTCGTCAACCCCGAACGGCCCACCCGAACCCCACTGGACCGGGGTTGACCACCTCTCCGGACCGCTGAACCCCCTTTGCATCACCGATGCGAACCACGAGATCCTCAGACCAAAACCCAGAAGGTGAGTGTATCCTCAAATCACACATACATCATCATTACCATCTTCATCATCATCAGCATACGAGAGCGGAAATCATAAACCTACATTTCTTTTCGATGATGATGATGATGAATTTTTCGTTCGTTCGCCGTTAAGTGCCGTTTACTCTCCTCGCCAGATTTATATGTTAATTTTTCGGATGAGCAAATGCCGAAGTTTAAGAAAGAAATGGAAGCATTTCCAAACCAGAACGCATTCCCTAAAGCTTTAATCACAAAACATATACAAACATATAATTATTCATACAACAACAATTCTACAAATCCTTAATTTAAACTACGTTTATTAACGCATTAATTCTGTTTCTCTCCTACAAATCTACGAATGAGATGTAATCACAAATTAGTTAAGATTTTTTACTACATTTCGATTGTGAAAACTTTAGCTTGATAAATTTTTAAATTATTGTTTATGAACGCTACATTTCTTTTAAATACTTGAGTTCAAATGGAATAATCACATAGATTCTAATTCCATATTATTTTCATCATTTGAATCTTAACGTAATTATACAAACGCAAACAATAAATGTTAATTTATAAATTCAATTTCGTTATGTTTCACTGAGATTAAATTATGTTAAAAATCTATATTTGGGAAAATATATTATTACCAAATAATAATAATTTCTTTTAAATGAATTATTCTATTTATTTTTTTATTAAACACATCTTTCAATCATCTTTTCAGTTTGTATAATAATCAATTTCTTTTAAAGATTTAAATCGACGACAGAATAAAAAGAATGATTCAATTGGATTCGCTTCATTTGAAAAAGCGAATCGTGTCGAAATCGTCGCGCGCTTCTCGATTACAACAATAAACTCATTTTATTCTTTATGGTTTCGGTTTTATTTCATTTCTTACCTCACATTACAAAATCTTGCTCAAACTTTGTTTTTTTTTTTTTCTATATACTTATATAAGTTTTTTGTTGCTGTTGGGAGAAAATCGGTGTTCGGTTGAATATTTATGTTCAAGTTAAGTCACAATTCATCAAAATTCGAAAAAAATGATAATTTGAAATTCGTTTCGCCGATTTCATCCTTCGATTGTAAAAAAAAGTGTTAAAAGATATATAAGATTTTCAATTTGAATTTTCAAAATAAAGTGGTAAATTATTAAGATATTTCAATGGGATTTAGTTAATACATATGTGAAGATTTCAAATGAAAGAAAATAATCGTCTAACGTTATGTATAGGGTTTTGAAATTGAATTTAACGAAAATATGGTAAAATTGTAATGTAAATCAGATTGAATGAGAAAGCCATGGAAAACAGATTAAACAATCTGTGGATTAGAAACAAAAGATTTTTTAATGTTTTCCATCGGCTTCTCGATATTTGATAATGTGCTAAAATGACACAACATGATTATAATTCATATTGAAATATTTTAATTAAATTGAAGTGAACTTTCATAAACCTAAAATGCAAAACTCTACTTATAAATTGTTGATTTATTTGATGAAAAAAACTGTGAAAATAAAATGATGATCACTTCATTACTAATAAGGATGTAAACAACGCGGTATGAATGGAAATGTATATTGAATAATCGATGGAAGACGATGGTTATCAATCAATTACGTGTCTCGCCTTTGATCGCAACGGGAGGATTATTATCGGATCAATTTGAAAATTGCGAACGACTAGAAGAAAATAAAATGCAAATGCAATGGAGGAATGGGACGGCGTTACGACGCGCGGCAAGTGAGACCTGCACGAGTATTCGTAATTTAATTAAGTGCTCTCGCATTATGCAAATCGGAATTACGCGGTAATTGGCAACAACAACAACAACAAAAAAAAACGACGATGCATTAGAAAATATTTGCGTTTCATTTACAAGTTTACAAGTTTCAATTTACCTGCACTTTGATTGCGCATATCAAAATTTTAAATTGATTGATGATTTTGAATTTACAACAATTTTTTAGGAATATTATTTGCAAGGTCTTAAAAAGTTTCTTTACATACCAAACAGAAATCACAAATTCGTTGGTCGATTTTTCGCGAAATTCGGATTGAATGCCGACGCGTTTGAAACTGATTCGCGATTAATTAGGTAAAAAAGGAAACTTGCTGCTGTTTGTGTAGTATTCGGGGAGAGAAATGTAGAAGAAGGAGGAGGGAATTAGTTAGTGAAGTAAATAAATGCGTTCGTTCCCATAAGTTGATGTTTGTTAGATGGTAATGTGAGAACGTGTTCAGAGATTCACTGACATTGATAGAAAGTATAAATATTTTTGCACGAGAGGAGAAGAAAGTATGTGAACGCGCTTCTGTTTTTTTCTTTATTTCTCTAATCTATTTATTGTTCTTCGGTTGGAAATTATAATTATTGGTCTTCTTGCAAGGTTAATATATGCCGCACTTAGAAACTGAGCGGAGCGCGTGGAAAAATCTCTTTCTCTTTTATTTAGATTTTTTTTTGTTTGCTTCGTTTTCTTTTCCCATTTGCATCGAATATCATCATGATTGGATTATTTGTTTTCCTCTTGGGGAAAACTTTCGAGAATATTCAAATCCATTGAAAATACAGAGTTTCATGAATAGTGCAAAGTTTACTATAATTGAAAACAATTTTCAAGAATTTTAGTTTTTAAAAGTTTTATTTTCACTGTAATTGAAAGAAATTTCATTTCCATTGAAAATAGCGAATTACAAATCATTAATAATTTAATTTTGAATTTACTTTTGTTTGCAATTTATTAGAAGTTTGATAATTTGCAAAACTATTGACGTTTTCGTGCGTTTAATTTGGGCCGTGCGATAAAAGATCATTATAGGAGATCTTGCTCGAACTTTGTTTGTTTTTTTTCTATATACTTATATAAGTTTTTTGTTGCTGTTGGGAGAAAATCGGTGTTCGGTTGAATATTTATGTTCAAATTAAGTCACAATTCATCAAAATTCGAAAAAAATGATAATTTGAAATTCGTTTCGCCGATTTCATCCTTCGATTGTAAAAAAGAGTTAAAAGATATAAGATTTTCTATTTGAATTTACAAAATAAAGTGGTAAATTATTAAGATATTTCAATGGGATTTAGTTAATACATATGTGAAGATTTCAAATGAAAGAAAATAATCGTCTAACGTTATGTATAAGGTTTTGAAATTGAATTTAACGAAAATATGGTATAATTGTAATGTAAATAAGATTGAATAAGAAAGCCATGGAAAACAGATTAAACAATCTGTGGATTAGAAACAAAAGATTTTTTAATGTTTTCCATCGGCTTCTCGATATTTGATAATGTGCAAAAATGACACAACATGATTATACTTCATATTGTAATATTTAAATTAAATTGAAGTGAACTTTCGTAAACCTAAAATGCAAAACTCTACTTATAAATTGTTGATTTATTTGGTGAAAAAAACGGTGAAAATAAAGAAAGAAAGAAATTTCATTTCCATTGAAAATAGCGAATTACAAATCATTAATAATTTAATTTGGAATTTACTTTTGTTTGCAGTTTATTAGAAGTTTGATAATTTGCAAAACTATTGACGTTTTCGTGCGTTTAATTTGGGCCGTGCGATAAAAGATCATTAGAGGAGATTCGTATCTCTCTGGAATCTAACTGTGTCTTCTTTCCTTTCTTTGTCTCTCGGAATTTGCGTCTGTTATTAGCGTTATTAAAAGTGGCGAGCGAGCGGATTAGCGTATTTGTTTTGATCTTGAAAGGAAATTCGTAACAATCGGTGGGAAACGTACCACATCCTCGACGATTACTCTTTCATTAGCCATTCAAGAGAGTCGTCAGTGTTAGTCAGTCAGTCAGTCTTGGAGTGGGTTCGGAGGAAAGAGCTGTTCCCTTGCGGAAGATGAATGCAATCTGAGAAGATGCACCGCTGCGAGAAGGATTGCAAGTGTATACTGTGTCTTCAGCTGAGGGGATGCGAGCACAACCTGAGGGCGGACGTTCGAGTATCGGATAACTTTATATTGGCGAAATCGAGCGCTCTAGTGAGGAACGCGATGTCTTCGTTTGCGCCCAGGAAATACACGTTTTTCGGGAACAGCAATTTCGATAACACGGAGAAGTTCTCGACGATCAACTCGAGCGCGGACAACATCCATCAGATCACCGAGAGCAAGGTCGTGCGCGGAAAAGAGGCTAAACTCACGATGGAGAGTCTTCACAAATCGGTGATTTACGTGAACGAGATGCCGAGGGATGAGAATAATAACGAAGAGGAAGTGTTCGGGAGGAACGCCGTCGTGTTGGAGGAGCGGGTGGATGATTACATGAGTCTGGACAGCGTGCAGGACAGCAGGATGGTGAACGTCATCTTCAAGCAGACTTTCTCGTACGCGTCGCAGCTCTTCAACGATCTGAACGTGCAGGCTGCTGCTTGCTGCTATTCCGAAGAGGACGATGACTCCTCCGATGAGTTTCCCATCGGCGCCGAGGCCTACTATTTTAATAAAACCAACCGGTATGTGCGGTTCGAAAATTTTCCGACCGACGACCAAACGGAATCTCCAAACTTTTACGTTATTAAACTTTTCTTTTGAGGGGATGCAAACAAACGAGTTTTTATTTTTTTTTTAATTTCCTTAAGATGATCTTAATTTTATTTTCCCGCCCTCAGGCCTTCAAGTAATTCCCGCAATGAGCAGACTTCGTACCACGAGGATATGGGAAAAGAGGCGACGCCGACGTCGACGAGTCTAGGTCACTCCAAGTCGACGTTCCCCGTCGCCGATGGTAATCAAAGCGAGCGTATGGTTTCACCTAAAAGGAAGACGGAACAATTCCCTCAGCTGTACATCGCCAACAACGTGAAGACTTCCAGCTTCAGCGAGCAGACCACGGAGAAGAGCTCCAAGTGCGAGGTCAGCAAACACATGATCCCAGAGCGTGACACCAACAAATCAACGTCCGGGCTGAAGATCCCGACAGGGCAAGCTGTCTTCAAGTATTCGGACATCGAGGACGGCGGTCGACCATCTCATTCGGCGCGTCTCCATCATCACGTCAGCGTGCAGGAGCTCCGGATCCAAGTAATTATTTGTTTCTCATTCTAATCATTCCTCGTTTTGGGATTGTCATGATTATTTGAGGCGATCTTTCAGCAGAGGGCCGCCCAGCAGCAGGGAAACAGCTCCAGCGACGAGAACAGATCTTCTGGACATGCGAGCATGTCGGATACAGGTCACAGCTCACCGAGGGCTCTTTCTAATCAGGAGAGACCGGTTGCCGTCGTCCAGAAGCCGGCGAGGAATCGAGTCAACACGCAGTACAATAGATCCCGGCATCGAGCTACACCTGCCAAAGTAAATATACGTCACCACTACCACCAACGTCGGCACTTTAACAAATCCTGTTCTTGTTTACTTATAGAATTAGATCAAATTCTTTTGTACCCTGGAAACCTATTTTAACAACCAAATCTCACAAGTTTCGTTATTTCCAACAACACATTTCGTTATAAAAACTCATCTAGAAACTCAATTTAATCATATTATTCAAATTATAATTTCCAACGTTTTACCTAATGAGAATGACAGAAATTCAACTTTATTATATTAATGTATACTACTATTATTCAAATTATCATTTTCCTATCTCACGTTCCTTTTTGTTAATTAAAATTCTAGAATTCAGCTTTCTCAATATAAACTTTATTATGTAAATGAAATTAATATTTTAATTATTCAAATTATATACATTTGTGAAACTTACGTAATTTTTCTGATTTTATTTAATATTATTTATAATGTATTTATAATTAATATTGTTGTTGTTCTTTATTTTAATTAATTTTCTACTAAACTGTGTACTTTTTGGAAAAGCTTCAGGTACCATGGACAGGAAGTGGAGGTTTGGAAGACATTAAGTTGGCTCTTCAACAGTTAACTATGCGTTCTCATACCTCGACGAGCACGTATTCAAGTATAAGTGCGGGTTCTGAAAGTTCTGAGCCTGCGATGAGGAGGTTGATGAGGCATTCTTCGTTAGAAACCATCAACACTAACATCACTAACGCCGATGAATTCGTTTGGGTTGATTCGCACAATCGGTACTAATTGTCTTCAGTCTTCTAATTGTCTTCAGTCGTAATAATGCAAATTTGATTTTCAGTCTCGTCGAACTTCAGCACTTGCCGTGGACCAATCATTGCATATTGAGAGTGCTGCAGACTGGCCGTTGCAGGGAGCACATGGCAAGGGTGAGCGTGGAGACGATCCCTAGACTCTCGTATCTGCTGCAAAGAGCTTTGGTGAGGATCAGCAGAGAAACGCAGAGGTTGTCCACGAATTTGGGACTGTGCACCAAGCACGACATCGCCGTCTCCTTTCGCATAGTTCTGTGTCCCCCATTGGCGGATTCCTGTATAAAAGCTTGCTTAAGAGCAGCTGCGATGTTGGCAATGGCAGGAGACTGCACGTTGAGACAGAGCAAGTCCACGAGGGCAGGATTACAGCTGCACGTGGGAAGATTCCACCGTTGGATGACCGACGTGAAATTGGCCCGTTTCATCCACGAGTAAGTAGAATTGAATTGAAAACAAAGTAAGTAGAGAAAATAATTAATTAATAAATAATTGCTTGTTTCAGGTACGCAGCTGTTTACCTTTGCGCCGGCTTGGAAAACCTTCTGGAAGAGATTCTGCTGCAATGCGTACCCAGCGATTCTGATGTGACATTAACAGCTACCCTTTTGGAGCACGCCATCGCCAATAATGGAGATCTTTGGGGACTTTTACAACCTTACGCTCATCTGAACGCTGGACGGATTGCTTCAGGTTCGATTAAATTTCGTTTCACTTTAGATTAATTTAATATAATTGTTTACGATTTTCGCAGGAGCTCTAGCTTTACCACGTTGGGTGTCCGTGTCCAGCTTAGGATCAAGCAGGGATTCGGGTCGGGGATCCGGACCACCGGAGCCCTCGCTGATGACGACGTGCGTCGGTTCTTTGACCGAGCTGCAGGATCTGATCAATAGGATGCAAACGAGGATTCCTCTCTGTCCGAGAGCAGTGAGAACTCTATTCTATTTCATGAGGTGTTCGCAGCTGGAGCACGGAGAGCAGGGTGCAAGTGCTGTGCAAGAGTTGTGCTACGAAAGGGCGTACGTTGTGCTTCCACCTTTGGTGGAATGGTTGAGGGTCGCCACAGCTCACGGGGAGCATAGATTCGCCGCGATTCTGGATAAGGACGATATCATGCAGGCCGCTCGACTGCTTCTACCTGGTGTTGACTGTCCGGTCAGGTCTTTGGGGGAGGAAGCCGTTAGGATCAAGAGGTTGACCGGTGGAGATGACGACCACATCGAAGCGTCGCGACAAATACAAGTACGTTGTGATTCCCTAATAGTTTTTCAGTTAGTTTTGTATTATTAATATTTAAAATTAATTTACAGGTGGAATTAGCGTTCAGACTGATGCTGACCGGACGCAGTGAACTCATTCAACAAGCTCTATCTTTGCTTCCTTTATCTACAAGATTGGATACCTTGGATCAACAGGGACACACGGCTCTGATGATTTCTGCTTTAAACAACGACGACACGACGCTTATGGTAATTACTTTAGTTTCGATGTTAAGTGTTTATAGTAAATTATTAATCTCTTAGGGTCTTTTGGATGCCGGAGCGTCCGTGGACACGGAGACTCCTGCGTCTGCGAGTCCCAATTTCAACGCCGTGAACGGCGAAACTCAGCACTGGACTGCCCTCACGTACGCCTCCTCCAAGGGCCACGCGAGATGCGCCAGGATCTTGTTGGAAAGAGGGGCTTCCGTCGAAGGAGGCGCCCAACTTTCCGAGGACAAATCGACGTTGACACCTTTGCAGGTGGCGAGCAGCACGGGAAACGCAGATATGATAGCTCTTCTGCTCTCGTACGGAGCGCATCCGTTCCTCTCGACGATCTTGAAAGATACCCTTTGCTACGCGGCTTCAGCGCAGCGCGGCTGCTACAGCCCCATTTCGGTGGCGGCAGCGCACGGCCAGAGATCTATCCTGCAAAAGCTGCTGTCACAACCTGTTGCTTCCATGAATAAAGAGGTGTTATCGCTGGAGGAGATGCTCGCAGAAGGTATTTTGTATTTATGGGCAATCTCTCGATAACATATATTAATAAATCAATCAATTTAGGCGCAGCGTCGACGCAATCGCAATCTTCGAACACAACGCCGCAATTCAGTAAAACGCAGATCAAAGCGCTTCAAGAGGCCATGTACCATAGCGCAGAAAACAATCACCTAGATATTACGGTTGAAATCAGATCTTTTGGTATTCCTTGGACGTTGCACTGCTGGATGCATTCTCTGGGAGCGGCGCACGAAGCTAGATTGGATTGCGTTATAGATCAACTGCTGCAAGATTTTCTGCAAGTCTGCCCGGACGATTACAGCTCTCAGTTCGTCCAGGAATGTCTACCGCTACTGTTCAACATCTTCAGATACAGCAAAGTGAGATTTCGTTGTGATTATCTATTTTTAGCAAAAAAACATTTACATCTTGACTTTGTTGCAGAAGGAAGGAACGACGCTCCTGCTGGCAGACATCTTCTCCACGTGCTTCGGTTGGGAGGCCATCAAACCTATCAAGGATTGCGTCCTGACCACGACGACGGCTTCGAGGATCGACCCGAAGTACGTCAACAATCCTGAACTGAGCGACGTCACGTTCAGGGTCGAGGGAAGGCTTTTCTACGCGCACAAAATCGTCCTCGTCACAGCTAGTCCCCGTCTTCGTGCCATGCTCAGTTCGAAACTCTGCGAGGGTGGACTTCCTACCGTTCAGATCAACGACATCAGATACCACATCTTCCAGGTACACATCCAAATCCAAAATGCATCAGAACATTCACAAGAACATTTTATCATTTACAGATCGTGATGCAGTTCTTGTATCAAGGCGGATGCCAAACGCTGGAGCCTGCACCGGAGGATATTTTGGAGCTGATGGCTGCCGCCAACTTCTTCCAACTGGACGGTCTGCTGAGGTACTGCGAGGGGAGATGCGCGGCTATGCTCGTCCTCGACAACGTCGTCTCCATGTACATCCACGCCAAAGTCTACAACGCCCTGCAGCTTCTCGAATATTGCCAGGGTTTCCTCCTGCAAAACATGGTAGCCCTGCTCACCTACGACGATTCAGTGAAGAGGCTCCTCTTTGCCAAGAAACTACCCAATCACGACGTCCTCGCCGGTCTCCTGAACACTCTGCAGAACAGGATCAAAACGCGCCGATCTCAGATTTGCAAGAGCATCCAGCAGCAGCAGGGAAAAGCATGTAAATGATGTCCATATAAACTAGATTATATATATATATATATACATACAGATGAATAATTTAAAAGAGAATTCTCGAACGGAAAAAGAAAACGTGAAATTTAAGACTATGTTATTTATATTTTTATTATTATTTCTTTATTTATACAAGTTTTATTAGCTGGCATTATAACCACTCTATTTGATTATTATATTATTTTAATAATTATTTTGCTAAAACTTATTTTTTATTTCGTTACTAATTTCTCCACACCTTAAGATTTATTATTTAGATGGAAAATTGGGAATTCCAGCAGCAATAATGATCCAATGAACAAACAGAAAGTTCCATGGAGAAACCTCGGTTTTGCGGTGGAAGTTTGTTTTGAAGCGGCGAGAGGGCTGTGTAAACTAAATCCAATTGTTGCTGAAATGAACGTTTATTGGAGTTTCGAAAACGCAATGTTTATTTGTAAATAAAGTATCACATAGTGTTATATAATATATACACATAAAAAAATAATAATGCAAACAAACAATCAATATCTCATCAACTTATTGGTAATAATGAACGCCGTGTGGATAAGACTGATCAGATGCACGTCTCGCTGTTGGGTTTTAGGTCGCAGTAGTTGAGCTCGTAGAGGAGGCTGGTTTTTCCTTTCGGACTTGAGACGCGTATCACCTCCTTCTGTTGGTGAACCAGGTACATGCTCTCTTCTTCGTTTTGTGCGCACCTGGTGTCCGTTCGCTCGGAATTTGAGTGCGACGGAAACCTGGTGGTTTCGCGCATCGTCGAGTTCCTTACTAGCGTGCTGCCGTTTGTACGTTTCGCTCCGCAGAGGATCTCCCTGAATGCGGTTCTGTACTTGTTGGACATAACGTTGTACAGGATGGGATTGAGCGTAGAAGATAGGTAGTAAAGGATTCCGGTGATGTAGAACATCCACTCGTTCAGCTTGTAGAAGTAGGGCGATTGATTTGCGTACATGTAGATCAAGCGTTGCGCGTGGAACGGAGCCCAACAGAGGAAGAAGCAAAAGACGACGGCCGCTGAAAATATAGAGAGAAAAAAATAAATAAATAATAAAACATTCGCTGATGATAATATTTCAGAAACCTAACATCCAGATGACCGTTTGATTGGTGTGCGATCGTCTGCTGTCCCGATGAACGGTCGAATTCTGTCCCAAAGCCAGATGCGATCTGTTGGAGATCTTCATGCCCATCCTCGTGTATTGGTAGAGCATCACCAGCAGCGGAATGACGAAGAAGATGAGCGTGCTGAGCTCGGCTAGAGGAAGGTACTCCGGTTGATGAAGCATCGCGCAGACGCCGCTCTCCTGCAAACTCGCATTACAAACAGGTTCGGTAAAGATAGCAGAATCTGCATGAAATGTGCACCTCCAGATGGATCCCGCTTCCTATCGGATACTCTATGTAGTGGATGTTGGTGAAGATGGCGAAGGGCAAGGCGAACACGAAAGACACCAACCACAAGCAGAAGATGATCCGTTTCGCCCTCTGCAGTCCCGACATCGTGTACAGATACAGAGGATAACATATGGACAGGTATCGTTCGGTGGAGAAGGCTACGATCGTCAGCACCGAAACGTAAGAAGCCCTGCAAATTGACGTCGCGCTTACATAATAAACAAACCATACGAACATGTTACAAATTTGCAAAGAATCAAGCAAATAAATGAGTAAAATCGTATACGAACATTTCGGAAAGGAGTGCTCTCAGCTTACAGCAGAATTCTCCCAAAGCCCAAGGGTACTGATGCCAGTAAACGGCGACGTCATTAGGAACACCTGCGTAACAACAGCAAAATATATCAAATATATTATTCGATTACGCAAATTAATCGCATAGTCATCGCACCAATTAAATCCCGCTGCGTTTCGCACCAATTCGCCGCAAATACTGCTAATTAATTAGTTAGCTCGTCCGTGACAATTATTTTAAACGTATTATATATATATATATTATTCCATATATCCAATTAACTGTGTCCGATTTTGAGCATTTCACACCGAAAGTTGGTTTTATCTCCTTTTTTTTTCTAGCTTTAATTACGTAGAATATCCGATATATTATTACACAATCCGAGTAATGCGACAAAGGTAATCTATCGTTTGATAGAGCAACAATAATATCCCTACAATGCGCGCAATTCCAATTCCGTATGGTAACACAATGCAATCGAATCGACGCGCCCGTAAATTAATTATGTAATTTACAACGCGCATCAAATAATAATTAAGCGAAAACAAGAAATAATTCGAACTGATTTTTGTCTTTCGAAATATACGCTATTTCTTTGATCTCGCTACAACAATAAACGTAATTGCAGTTGAACGCGATGCAATTGTTTTCACAGCGCACGCAGTAAACTAAATTGAATAACATATAATTTGTATTATTTATTACAATTGAACGCAATTGCGTGATTAATCGAATAAATTGGAAATGATGATATTTAGTACAATAATATTGCATAGTTTACATACATTAATTACGTAATTCGTATCGGGGTGATGTATGCATGTTTCAAATGAGTTGGGCAGAAAGAAGCGCAGTGAAAGAGAGTAAACGAAAATAAGCTAATTGGAAAATTGGTCTCGAAGATGTGTAGGCGATGCGGAAAACGGAAGGAACATAAATCCCTTCGAGAGATACTTTTATTGGTTAGTAGCTGCAGATTATATTTCCTAACTGCAATCTCATTCTCTCAATCTCTTTCTCTCAATTTCATCGTACGTGCCACCACGAATTACTTTCGTTCCGTTTACGGCTCTCCTCTCAATTTGTAGTGAAGTTCTAAGCTCTAATAGAAACAATAAATATGACTTCGATTTCTATGGTAAATACGTGATTTGCTAAGTTAATTCGTGATTAACAATAATGAAATGTGAGAAAGCATAAAAGTTATACGACATCAAAGGATGTTGAACAAAGCGGCTTCGGTATTAGTAATTATAAAACTTCGTTGTTATTCCGAATGCATCGAGCGTGACTAATTGGAACTGTTGAATTTCGAATTTGCGTTTATTTCTAATAACTAACGTTAAATAAATAAATAAATAAGCGACAAATAAACGTGTTTAGAAATGATCCGTTTTGCAAGAGTCAATAATAATAAATTATCAAAGGAAAACGGCAGTAAATTCTTTTGTACGATCGAGCAGTTTGCGAAACGAAACGGGGAAAAAGGGATCATGCATTTCTCGAAACTATTTTCATATTTATTTATTTTTTTGAATATAACCGTAACATCATTTCGACGACGACGCTTTTCTTGAAGTGTTATTTTGTGCAAAAATAAACGTATCCAATCTTCTTATTATTATCTGACAAACGATTTAGTTCGGTATGGAAATTTTTCAGGAAATAAGTAAAAAAACGGAAGATAGCGAATTGTATAATAAAGTATGTTAAATGTAATAGAAGTCGATGAAAATGTATGAAATACAATACAGTGAACATTGATTGATCAATATGACGAGAAAAATAATAATGAGAAAAAAAATGAAATTTAAATTAATGAAATAATAATTCGTTGCATTAAAACTTTCAGTTATGTTAACTGTGCGATCTGTGCTTCGCTCCGAGAACTTTTTGAATGGTACTCGAGGATTGCAAAAAGTAAATAAAATAAAAAGTTTTTGTACGAGATTTTCTGCAAATGCGTTAATTAATGTTTCGTTTAATATATATATATTTTTGTTACTAGACGGCACTTTTAATTAATGTTAATTAATTAATTTGTGAGGATTTGGAAGGAAATGTGTTTGCATATAGTTACCGAAGACGAGCAGGGTGAGATCGGAGACGGCCAGACTGAAGAGATAGTAGTTGGTAGCGGTGTGCATGTTGGAATGTCTCTTGATGACGATGCAGACGGCGATGTTGCCCAGAAGACCGGAGATGAAGAGGAGGACGTTGAGGATGGTGAAAGGGATGGCGACGTCGAGCGGAAGCTGCTTCGGTCCTCTCTCTTTGATCAGCAGCTCCCATTCGCTGATCATCGTCGTCGTCTCGTTGAATTCATCGTAGTCGATGGACAGATTGAGTGGCGTGATTATTTGTTGGACGTCGTGATCCTCTTCGTCCATGTATATGGAGTGGGTGGAGGATGTGAGGAGGCTGGTGAACGTGCAAAGGACGAAGACGGCCAAAGTCGTCGGCTGACGGATCATGTCGGTTGCAGTGGTGCAGATGTTCAGGATTTAGTCCATTCCTTCTGCGATCGTTTCATCGCTTTTGTTGGCACTTCGCCCCCGCCGGAGACGGCTCCACTCCTTCCGCATCCAAAAACCAGCTGACCCACTTTGCAGATTCCTTCCCCAACGAACGACGCTACGCTAAGGCCAAAACAATAAATCTCTCCCCCATTTTGCTAAAGCAGACTTTCAAGGTTGACTCCAGGCGCCGGCAATCCTCCATCCTCCCCGCGCATCGATATTTGTTATGTGTATACTGGAACACTTCCCATTGTAAATAATGTTTGCCCCCATACAATCCTTTTCCTCATTACAAGATTCAAATCAATCTTTACTCTCTTGATTTATTATTAATATACTTTTTATCATAAAGTATAAATAAAAAAATATGCATAAAGAAACTTACTAATAAACTTAAGAATGAATTCAGTTCAAAAACTAAAGAGAAATGTTTAATTAAATTTCTAGCATAAATGTAATCAAAATATTCTTAACATCAGGAAAAATATACAGCAATATCTCGCATTGTGCGGCTTGGATCAGTTCGGAGAAATCTACGAGGAAATTTGAAAAATCGATGTTGAATTTTGCAACGGAATAAAAAAATGATTTACAAAAATAAAATAATATCATGGACAAAGCGAAAAATTTCGAAACGGACGGATCCCACGCAAAATATTTGTGCAATTCATACATAAAATGAAAAATAGATTCGTCAATGTACAATAAATGGATTTTTTTTGTTGTTGTAATATTGAAATTGAATCCACACCGAACATTAAACATTTCAATGCTGACCGCATTATTATTCGTTGGTCATTGTTTGCAAATTTCGATACAAAATTTAGTTTCCCATTGCAATGGTAAGTTTGTTATGTTCGCTGAACATAAATATTTTCAGTTTGTTAAATTTCCAAACTGCACTAAAAAAATATTGTAATTTATACTTTTCATATTTCAAAATCAAATTATTTAACAATAATAACTTGAAAAATAATGGCTTTTTCGATAGTTACTTAATTCTTATTGCGAGTTTCGAGCTCAAATAAGAATTGTTATGCAAAAAGGAGAAATAAATGTAATAAAATATGATTTGCAAAATACAAATATGCAAAATATTCAATAAAATGACGCTTAATAGAAATTTCCTCTTCATCTCCTCTTCGCCAAAAAGAAATGTCCAATTTTCCAGTATGAAGAACAACGAAACGATGTTTGTGTTCATGTGAGAGAAAATAAGGACCTGTTTGAGCAATAGATCAAATAGGCAATCTTTCCTTTCTAAAATCATGTTTTCTGAGAAAAAAAAAACAATAATATTTTATAGTTATGGACTTCTAGATTATTTCTTATTGTTATTGCTTATTTTGAATAAGTCTATATCAAATAATAACAGACACTGTCGGGATTTCGAATGTCGGGAATTTGATTGTCGTGATTTCAATATAAATTTTCCACTCAAATGAGAAAATTAAATTCAAAGTATTATTAAGTTTTGTTATCTTATTTAATTATTATCTAATTGTAAATTATCTCTTGAATTATTTAAATTTCCTTTTTGCGGCTTTTTTTTTCAATACTCTATAATATAAGTAAAGTTTTGATTAAAAACTCTAATGAAAAAAGTTAAGGGAAAGTGCCAAGATTATATTTTTTTTAAAGGGGGATCGCAGTAACATCATGTTCGGAAACCACTGCTCTACTCAAACACGTACACTGTTGTTTGATATAAATTTGAATATTTCAAAACAATATTTCAATTAATGTTTTTACGTTTAAAAGTGCTCGATTAGTCCGGTTTCGAACAACGCGATAATCCGCACAGTCCAAAGTGTTACTATGTATCAAATGTTGGTTGGATATAACGTGATCAAATTAATCTAAATTATTCGCAAATCGATGAAACTGTGATTTAATGAAATTCCGTTACTAACTTGCCTCGTATTTCGATATATATATATGAACGTTTTATGATTGAATGAATCCATCGATAAACTCGTGTGGCATCCATAAATCTTCCTTCTGTTTCCTCTCCTCGAAAACAAACAAACAAAAAAAAACAATGTTTCGACTCTTCGATCCTCGATATTTATCGTAGACTATTCACTTAATGAAACAAAACAAAACGAAAAAGAAAAGAGAAGAACTCCGCAACAAAAGCTGAAAGTGCGTATGCAGAACAATTAGAACACGGAATTCGATGGAGCGGAATTTCCGTCCGTTTGAATTACGAATGCCGCCGTTTCCGAAAGTGGATGCAACTGAAAATAAGGCGGACGATGCAAAAAAAAGAGAGAGGAGATAAATAAAAAAGAGAGTGTGACAGAGATGGATGGAAAATCGAGTTTCGTCCTTTGGACGCTCCGCTCGTTTCCGGTTCGCGTCCTTTTTGCCGCAAAATAATGGTTTTATGCATGTATCCAGTCCTTTTTAATTATCCTGCACGTCGCGACGACACTGGAAAAAAAAACACCCGAATGTAAATAAATAATAACCTGGATGCGATTTTCCAGCTACGAATCGACTTGCTGAAATGATAAATAATTCGATCTGAATAATTCAACGTAATTTCTTCGGGAAACAACAAAAGAAACTACAGTTCCTTTCATTTATAACTCGTCGCTGTAAACTGCGTGTTTCCCGGATGGAAATGGGTTTCCATGGTAATTTTGCGTGTCTTGAGCAGACGGACGATAAATTGGAATGGCAACGACATAAAATGAGCGTGTACAGTACATCTTCTGTTGATCCATTAGACCGCAACGATTCGTTGGTTGGTTGCATTTGTGCTCGGATGTGTGCAACTATTCCACGCAAATGGAACGTCGATTCCCGCAAGAACCCTCCAGAGACTCTGCAATTGCAACATATGTTCGGTGATTAAGCACCGACGAATTTCCATCGCGTTTCCCCAAAACCAATTACCTAAATTTAGAACGTTTTCAGCCGTTTTCATAAACAGCATCATCATTAACACTACATTTTTATTTTTATATAAATGTATCAATTATCAATTCGTTATTTATATAATAACTTTACAAGGACACTGAATAACTTTTAAGATATTTAAGGGATACACCAAAAGATGGCGCTACAAACTTAAGCAGTTGGCATGCCGTAAACGTAAACATACTAATTGAGGACTTTAAATTAACTTAATTAAATTTGTTAAATCGTATTATATAGCCGATTTCGTGGGCGCCGGTTCGAATCCTGGTCAAGCCAGAGGCCTTTTGTGAGCCCTCTCGGTGCTTGCAGCAATATAAAATTCACTCAATGTTCAGATTGATGAGCAGATTGTGAATAAAATTATGCGACATAACAAGAAAAAAATCGTACTGTAGTGAATCAACCGTACTATGCGTGGTATTGCTGCACTTCTGGAAAAGTTTTCGATTAAGTGCACTGATGTAAATTTATTTGTGTAACTTTCCGATCAATTCGAACGTGTATAAATAAATTTCAATTAATCCAATTGAGGTGAAATGGAAGTGTGTGTGCTTTGTTGTATTTATAGTGTAGTGAACGTAATTTGTATACAGTTCGATCGGTGCATATTTGATGCCCCGAAACACCATGTTCGATGGTCGATCAGCTGTTCATTTACCCACGTGAATCTGAAGCTTAAGCTGAATCTGACCCAATCTTTAATGCTTTCAACAATTTCTTTTTTTTTGTATGTCGTGCAATTTTATTCACAATATGTTCATTAATGTGAACATTGAGTAAATTTAAGATCGCGGTTGACATCTTTCACGGTGGATAGTTACCATAGGCCAGCGTTTTCCAAACTGTGGCGTGGACTAGTCTAAGGGGAGGCGCGAATATTAGTAGCAGTAAGCAATTTTCCAAATATCTGCTAAAGTATAGATACATTCCTGTGCTCTTATCCATATTGCTGTAATAC